ACACACACACACACACACACACACACACACACACACACACACACACAGAGCTTCTAGCTGTTTCCTCCCTGATGATTGAGATGCGCCCAGATTCTGATTTCTTTAAACATTTTCTTCTTCTGTTTTTATAATGAGTATTACGTCCTTTGTAACAATTTATGCACCTTCCTGTGTGCTTCTTATGAATGCTTATTGCTATTTTTTCTAAATAATAGAAATGTAAATTGGCTAAATTGTGCAAAAAACGGATTAGATCTTGTGTATTGTATTACTGTAATGCATGTATTTCCACAAATCAAAACAAATATATCTCTGTATGTGTTGTGTTTGCATATCTAATCCCACAGCTCCCCCTGGTGTTCACATGCTGCTACTACACCATGAAATGAACACGTTTATCTAGTGTATGTCATCCCACTGAAGGATCAGCTGCTGGTTTCTACGTAGATGTCACACACGCTGATGACACAATAAATCTTCACGAAGCTTCCCGAGAGCATAAAGCATTCATTAAACTGTTAAATACCAGCCTAGACCACTCAACTTCTCTATGAGCTGTGACAAAATTAATCACAGTGTGGCAAATCGGGCCGACGAGGCGCTTATTAAAATGTATAGCAGGATTTCTCATGAGGAATAGCTGAACAAAAACCTGCAGCCAAAACTCTAATAGCCAATAACTTTTGCAAATTGGCTGGTTTTACATTGAATAAATAGAGTTCTTATTGTAATTATCCCAAATGAATGCGGCAGATTAACTAAAAAACTACTGAGGGAGGCATTGGAATGCAAAATAAACCTAATCATTCAAAGTTTGACGATTCCTTTTTTCATCAAAGAGTTTGAAAAACGACTTATTTTTCTTTCCCAGAGTCTAAAACTCCTCTTTCAAATTCATGTACCAGGCAAAACAATGTAGTGTGGGCAGAGCGGCGCTTCTCCAGTGGCCAATTTCTGGATTTCAGACATAACTCTGGGGATTAGCCTGAACAGCAGTTAATTGCTTTAAACCAATGGCGCTGAATTAATCCTTTGATTTTTGGACTCCTTTTATGATTAGAGCAAGAGGGAGGGAGGGAGGGAGGAGTGGAATAAATATGTGAGAAAGAGAGAGTAATGGAGACGGAAAAAGAAAAAACAACAACCTGACAGTGACTCAGGCAGCCACGGCTGGCTGAGCAGTCTTTCATCAGGAGGTAATGATATGAAACCTGTAATCTACAGGAGGCGGGGTGTGTGTGTGGGGGGGGGGGATCAGATGACTAATTAATAGCTCCGGTCTAAAAGCCCTGAAGCAGTGCACTCTGGGAGTCAGCGCAGGCAAGGTACAGGAGGGCTGAGCCCCGGCAGAAAGGCTCTGATCACACAGCTGAGTAGTGAGTGGAACAGACCCAGCTCTTATTTTGGTTTCCATTTCAGACTCAGCAGGTGGTGGGTCTGTGTGTGTGTGTGTGTGTGTGTGTGTGTGTGTGTGTGTGTGAGAGACAGTGTGTGTGTGTGTGTTCATGAGGCTGGACAGGGAATTCGGTAGCCAGCTATCTCTTTCTCTAGCTGCAGGAATAAAGTGACTTTTTAAGGCTTTGCGATCATAAGTTCGTGTCAAACTGCTGTTTCTATGACAACTGGGCTGAGTTTTCTGTGAGCGCGTGAACAGATCCTGAGTTTCCTTTCTTCACAGCGAGGTTGTTTCTGTGAAGAGAGATTGTTCTTTGGTGGTTCTTTTGTTCTTCCAGGTCTAATTTAGGGTGTGATGCTGACTTAAAGTTAATGCTGACTTGTGACATGAGAAGTCAAGACGTTTAGGATGTGCTCGGTATGTTTTCAATGATTATTTGGTGTTGTTGTTTTTTGCATTTCAGTGTCATGCCAAGAACAAGGAAAGAGTCAAAATGTCTCTCATAAATGAAAGATTACGTCATTTTTCAGAAAGACATCATGTCAACGCAGTTTTCAGACAATTTCCACTTACAGAGGCCCAAATGTTTTCTGGTAAACATATCGTGTTTACATAATGTTTACTGAGGGTCATTTTCTCATAGACTTCTATACAATCAGACTTCTTTCTGCAACCAGAGTAGTCGCCCCCTGCCGGCCAGTAGAGAGAATGCAAGTTTAAGACACTTCCGTACCGGCATCACTTTTCAGAACCGGAGGTTGAGGCCTGGTTCTGATGGGTTTTACGTCACTTAGCATCCATTAGTGCTGCATTACCGCCATCTGCTGGACTGTCCTTTGCCCCATCTATTCCAGCATTAACATGGCATGTTTAAGAAAGGTGCACGACGGAAATGCTCCTGAATGCAATAGTGAAAATCACAAGCGGTGCCTGAAAGGTTTTTCACAGTAATTTATCGGGAACTACGTGTGAACGAGGCTGTGGTGGACATGTCCCACCTTAATGGCTTTTTTTTTGGAGGTGAGGGAAAACGGTGGGTTACTCTTAGGATGCAGGGAATGAATTATGACTGTGGGTATTAACATTACCCCCGCCCCCCCGTGCCTCATTTTCATAAAGATGTAACCCTTTGAGGAGCCCTTATTTTTGCTTTCATGAGCTCGTTTGTACAGCTCTCATATATGCTGAAACTTCCGATTTCGACAACTTACCCTCTGCGGGAGGTTGGTCTGTCCCCCTCTTGTCCTCCTCAGCGACCTGGACCAGAGAGGACACACTGCTGCTGCCCACAGTGACGGGGGTGAGGACAGGGAGGGAGGCCACGCTCGTGAAGGAAGACTTCCTGCAGGTGGGGAGGCGAGCAGAGGAGCTGTAGGGGCGCTTGGGATGAGCGAGAGTAGATTAAAAAAAAAAGAAGAAAGAATGCGTTTAGTTTATCGTCTTAAAAAACAGAATGCAACTATACAAACTATTGTACTTTCAACCCATAGAGGTCAGTACAACAAAGCTTTTCTGCCAGATTACAGTGGAGTATCAGTGAAGAGAAATCCACTGTGGAATAACATCATTATCTTCACTATATTAGATTTAATTAAAATGTGGTGTATTTTTTTAACCTTTTTTACGTTTGGTCAGTTTTATGCTCTTTTATATTTTATTTTAGCTTTCATGATTTATTGTTTGAATGCCAAACTAAACTGCTCAGAGTTATAGTATTGAGTGATCAGCTGTTTGTGTTTCTGGTGTGATAACTTTATCTCAACCGCTGCATTTGATTGCAGCGGTTATTTGGTTCGTTGTTCCTCACATTTGCCAGGTTGTCTTTTGAAACGAGCTTGTTGCTTTCAGTCAAAAGTTTGACATTTTTCGGGAAAACCACACATAAGAATGCACTTCATCATCATACCGCTGCTATCTAGGCCACAAACAATCACCTCCCTTGTGCTGTATTTGAATAAATTTATTGACCTATTTATCTCGTTCCTTTTCCTCACTACATTTGTGCGATACTGTTGGAGATACTGTCACTTATCTTTACGCACAATCCTCGTTTCCACACGTGTAACGCGCTATATTTTTTATCGTACACATTATTAGGGCTGGCCGATCTTTCGATATCATATCGATGTTGTGATACGAGACTATAGATATCGTCCATGTTTTGGGATATTTTAATATGGCATAAATGTTGTTTTAAAGGCTGCATTACATTCAAGTGAAGACTGCTCTATTATTCTCCTTTACCCACTCAGTCATAGTATCCACATCATGATGATTATCTAACAAAAATCTCACCGTGTAACTATTTTGTGAAAGCACCAGTCAACCCTACAATATCGTCGCTATATCGATATCGAGGTATTTGGTCAAACATATTGTGATATTTGATTTTCCAGCCCTTCATCTCATTGTCATGTCATCCTATCATTGTCACCATATCTTACTATTGTCTTTTCATCTAATTGTATCTTTTATATGATGAGTTCTCTTTTATTGCTGAGCCGACCTGTTCTCTCATCAAAAACGCTTCATTGTACTTTTGACATATTCACTGACACTTGAAAACACAGCATCGCTTTCTGCACAAACATCTGTCACTAACGGCTAAAACTCAAATCACAGCGCCTCTAACGGCCGTCTTTCATTGACATCCATTGAGGCTCCTGTCAACGCAGAATCTTTAATTGCCCCCTTTTCTGCTGAATGTCAGCACAGAATGGGGGCTCTTGGTATGAGTTCTGAGGGACTCACCAAAAACCTGGCGGTAACTTCTGATGGTTTAAATCTTTTGAATGTTGTGTTTTTCCATCAAGCTCCATTTTCTCCATGCTAGAAATATCCCAGTGTGAGGTCTGGCCATCTGCGTTTGGACAGTTATTCATGAGGAAAAGTCAAAGCAGACCAGCAAACAACGAAATAACCCAGTGATGGTGAAACTTTTCTATAAGAACAGCTTTTTTTTTTGTAAAAGCTAGAATCTGTTCTCCTTCAAGCTTAAATCAAATTCTTCAGACTAGCTGCTTGTGGAGAACAAACACACACACAGACAAGCTGACATGCGGCCGCTTGGCACATGCACACACAGGTAGATCTATCTACCAAGTGAGGACGACATATGAGCAACAGAAAGGAGCCAGACGTGCCCCCCCCCCCCCTCTCCTTCCTGTCTGCCAGGGCCTGAAGTGTGTGTGACGCTCCCATCAGCCTAATTATCAGCGTGGAAGGAAGCACAACACCTCAGCAACCTTTCCAAATGTCCTCTACTGCCACACACTGCCATCCCCTAAGGAGTAAAAGTGTGTGTGTGTGTGTGTGTGTGTGTGTGTGTGAAGATGCGTTTTGCTCATTGAGTCAGTCGGTGAGCGTAAGTATGCATGTTTGACTGTTTAAGTAAATGAGCCTGTGCGTTATGATTTAAGGCTTAGAGTCTATTAGTGCTCGAGCATGTTGCACCTGACTTTCTCTTTTTGTGTGTGTGTGTGTGTGTGTGTGTGTGCACGGTAAAGCCGGGTGTCACAGTCCAGGATTTCTCTCTTTCTGCCCAGCGTGGCAGGTGGAGGACTTTGACAGATAAGTTCTCGGCAAAATCCGACCTTCTGCTGAGATCAGAGTTTGTCCAGAACTCGGGGGAGGGACACACGGATACAATGAATAAACTTCATGGCCAAAAAGTATGTGGACACACGAACATTACACCTGTGAAGGCGTTTGGCCAGATTTGATGAACATCACTTTGTGCTCGGGGGGGCAATGTGGTTTTGAGACATGCAAGGGCCGTCCCAAACCTGTTGCTACAATGTAGGACACCATTAACGTTTAAACATCAGCTATACCTTTTTAACCCGAAGAGCCATTTTTAAATGTTCTTATTATTCAGTTTGCCGTGAACATTAAGTTTAATCATGACACCACATCACAATTTAAATCTCCAACAGATCTGTAATTTGATTCCATCAAGGCAACATCCACAGCAAGGTTGAAATAAAACATCTCTCTGTACAAGAAGGCTGCGTTCCTCATGAAAACATCCACATCTGAGTTGAAATCATTAATCCTACCAACCTTCCACCCATAAATAACTATACCGTAAATAACAGGCAGCGAAACTGCTAATGGCTGTAAGATGGAGGTACGTTGGCGCTTCAACATTTCCAAAAGAAATTGCCCACTTATTGCTAGTGTGCCATTGCAAGTGCAACTGTGTGGCTCATTCATGTGTTTTAATGGATTTTGGACAACTAATGGAGCTCTGTGACGCAGAAGAAGTAGAAGATATAAAAGACTTTGGCCTAACAGACAATAGTTTTCAGTAGAAGTTTGTCGTTATTTTGGTCTTTTGATGGGATTTATTGACAGTAAAGAAAATATAAAATCACCAGACTCATCCGTTAACTGGAACTTGGGTTCAGTAGACAGAAGTACGATGATGACATGTCCACAAACCTTTGGCAATATGATTAATAATAATAATAATAATAAAGAATAACAATAAAATAAATGATATAATATAAAATTAAAAAGTAAATAAGAGCGAGGGATACCTTGGTTGAAACAAACTGCTCCCATCTGTTCTCAATGGCTCGTTCTTTTTTCAGCAGCTTAATCGTGGTCGGCCTCGGTCAGGGTCTCTGCGAATGGAAAATAATCGCCGCTGTTGTGACACAATCATCAGCACGCCGACCTTCTGCGACTCACCACTAGTCGAAAAACCAGCCTTTGGGGCAGAGACAGCTCGAGAGTCGCTCCGGCCATTATCAAAATCATAATTCATCTTATCCTTAAAAAACGTGTGCGGCGCTTTAGATTGATGCCCGGCATCAGAGCTGCCCGCCTGCTGGAAAGCCCAGCAGTGTCGTAACCTTGTGATAATGTTTCATTTCATCCGCTCCTTGTCTTCCTGTACAGTAATGCCTCAGCTGTATCATTTGCTCCATAAAGCTTAAGACTTTCTGGGAAATTGGATTTGAAGCTGAGTGAAGGCCCTGGAGGCGACGTTTGGGTACCAAAAAAAAAAAATCTCTTTGTAGCTCTTTTTCCTTCCTTCTTTCCTTTTCTTTTTCTATCAATTATTCAAGGCTTACAGGGGGAGGGGGGGCGGGTGCAGTAACACGCCTGTACTACATTCTACAAGGAGCCATTATGACCGAGCGCGGTACGCCTTTACACTTTATGAATTAATCTATTCTCTGAGTCCAGGTCTCCTCTGATACTTGGAGAGCACAAAGATCATCATAGATCAATATCACGGCAGGAAAAAAGAAAAAGAAAGAAAGAACTGCCTTCGAGGAATCACGGCAGACTACAGATGCAAAGTAACATCAATCCTGTGGGTTTAAACATGTGACTTTAAGCACCACGCAGCTGCTGCTGCTTCTGCACTTTCTCTCCGTCTCCTCACTCTCGACACCCTGTGGTGGGTCAATATCACAGGAGCTGAAACCTGGAGGGAGGGGGGGGGCGAAGATGGAAGAATGCAATCTCCTCGCTAAGCCCGGACCCCCTCCGGAGCTTTGGACTTTTACATTTCATCCAGCACTGTCAGCTTCGCGCCCCGCGGCTCCTGATCGCCGCCACCCTTCATCACTGGCACCTCCACAGTACAGACGCAGCGTCTCTTCAGGTGGCTCGCATTAAAAACACTGCCGGGTTTGACAGAAGTTACTCATCGGTCAGCGTGCAGAGGTCAGCGCCTGCAACAAGCCCGATCGCTGATGGATGTGTCACTCCTGTGTTTTCCAGGCGGTGGAATCACTCTGAAATAGTAAATGACGGTTAATGTATTGTGTATGTGTAGTGTGAAGACATTATCCCAACGCTCTGTGTGCTTTGGTGTCTCATTGCTCGCACCATTATCCTGTCAACGATGAACACAGGATTACTCATTCATAAGCATAAACATTACACAGTTGATGTTTTAACAAATATTCAAAGCATATTTGCAAAATTAAAAAAGAACTATTCAGATGCACCGTTGTGGCCTTTAACTTGAGTACCAAGAAATCATGAGACGCGATGTCTATAAACTCTTTCACAGAAGGTGCATTGAAAACATTATCCACCAGAGTCGAAAAAGTTTAAATTGTATTTTGGTAGTTGGAGCAAAACGAGTTGGGCGAGTTAATTAGGTGTATTGCCGCGAAGGCAGCTTTAGAAAGCAACTTCCTCAAGTGTTTGCTTTAACTGACCACTGGAAGGTTGTGTGTGGGTGGGAAGAACCTTTTGACCCCAGAACAACTTACTTGGGGTCCCAGCAGGCAGCGAGCGGGCCGACTCTGCCGTGGCGATCCAGAGTCGGGGCCTCCAGCATGCCGACTCAAGACAGCAGAGCTGATGGTAGATGATCTTCCTGCAACAGCACACAAACACAGAGAGCGTCAACGTCTAGATACAGATACAGCGAGCCAAAAAAGTGCACGTCAAATTATCCAGCTCATATTTACAGGATAAAAATGACACATTTTTTATAATCCCTTTTTTAGGTGCAGGTCCAAGATTGCATTTTTGTCCATAGTTAAATGTATCTGTCTCCATTGCCGGTGTTGTGTCGAATACTGTCTCTCCGTCTCCCTACCCGAACATGAACTAACCCTTATCCCTCACCCTAACCACCCAGGGGGGGCGCTATCATATTAACAGGAGGGTAACACTCAATGGGGGAACTTCAACATTACACCGGCCTGGTCTATACGCTGAATACGCAATTGCGTAGAGATTGAAGGTGAAATAAAAATGAAATATGAATTCCAGATCGATAAAGGAGTTATGTCGCCCTCTGGTGGTGGTTTGCATTCAAAGCGCAGTGAGAGAACGCTTGCTGGATGAAAGACAGTATCTTTCATCCTGCAAGCGTAACAGACTACATTAAGTAATGGTGGATTGCCCCCTCTACTGGCAAAAAATAGACACTGCAAAACCAATCACACCGAACACCCTTCAATTCCAGTCAAGTTTTCTGCTGCGTGTAAAAGAAGTGGATGGAAACGGGACACAAGAGGCCCGACTCTTCAGAACGAGAGCTGCTGTCGTTGCAACCAACGCAAAAAAACATGGCATCTCTCTAAAAGCGCGGTTACGGCTTCACCTGCGGTCAAGCGGCACCGTCCATCACCCCGACACTTTCACGCTTGGAGGCCTCACGACCGCATCCATTCCCATGATCTCTCCAAACACATCAAACACAATATGAAATTCTGCTTTGGTCCCGGGTCGCTCCGAGCTCTTTTCATTATCGACCAGGCCGTTAGATTGTCTGCTCGATTAGGATCCGTCAGACGTCAGGTAAAGGCCTTCCAATGGGGTTGTTATTTTTCCAGAGGTCTCGCCAGAAAAACAAGGCTGCATTCTGGAAGCGGCAAATAATGCAGTGTCGGAGGAAAATGCATGTTGAGTTGGAGGTGATGCATCATAAACACGGGCTGTAGATGTGTCCCCGTGGAACGGTGCACAGACGGATGTAAAACACAGAGGATTTCCTCTAAACATATATTAGCTCTTCAGGGAACTGCCGGTGCAGGTATCTCTTAGTTTGAAATCTAAAATGTTCCTGCTTTGCCATTATATCCTCCTCAAACACACTACACCTGTCACGAAATAACGAGCCTCAGGCAGTCTCGTCTGAAGCCAGGAATCAGTCTGTCTGCGTGTTCTTTGCATATCTCCAGAACCGTTTCGTCCGATCTACACCTGGTGGGTGTGCTGCCGGAGACCCACGGTAGTGCTTTGTTCAGTGTGGTGCAATGTGGCCAGATGGTGGCGCTTTAACGTTTGAATTGGGAGTCTCAAAAACAACATTTGTTCTTGACACGAATCTATGTATTTAAGCCACGCCCGCTTGCGTGTAAATCGTTTGTCCGCCATCCTGAATCGGTCTTTTTCTCCCGCTATTCGGCCTTCAAATTTTGAGCAGTTGTCACTAAATTTGGTAGCGATCATCTCCGGAACAAAAGTTGCCGTCACAGATTTTTTATGTTTCATACAGTTTTACAGTTTTACCTCAAAGTTTGCTCAGATGATATGGGCAGGGCTTATATTACAAAAAAGAAAAAGAATGTCTCCTGAACGATTTATGATATTGCAACCACATTTAGGTGGACATGTGCAGATATGATGTCTGCTGTAGCAGTATCATCTGACTATAAAGTAAGGAATCTCGGTGTGTTTACGCGTGTGCTTCATTCGCATATCTCGACAACAGTCCGTCCAATCTGCTTCACACTTGGTGCAATTTGTACACTTTCTATATTAATAAACATCGCACGGAGAGCGGGGCTTCAAGGCCTGCGGCTCATTGCCCTCAGTTCACTTTTGGTGCGTGGATGATGGATATACTAACATTACAACCAAACTCTTCCTCCCTTCCCTGGAGTTAAAGAGCAATGAGCGGTTCTCGACAACCCTGGAATGAGCACTTCCAGTGGCCAAGCAATCAGCCCACTCCGAACCGGCCACTGCTCTAGTTCTCTTCAATCGTTCCTATATTTCCCTCTTGAAGAATAAGAGAAGCCACCTCCAGATGCTGAATGATGAATCCCACTTCATCATAAATTGGAGACGTGCGGCTTCCACCCAAAAAGGCTACAAGAAGAAGAACTTCAGCAGTACCGAAATGGAGGTACTGTTAATTCAACTTAAATGTGAACAGGATTGTCCAGAGCGTCTGTGCTGGCGAATAGCAGTGTGTAAGAATCACAATATCATCCAAGCGTTTTTAATCGTCTTCATTGGGATCAATAATATTTCTTTAGCCCACAATTTAATAATCCAATCATTTTAGTCACTCTAAAACATATAGTAATCTAAATTTGATGATATGATACTCATGCGTTTTTTTATGTTTTCTTTAAAAAAAGTAAAAGAAATCGTAAAATTGTATGCACCTAAGAGAAAGAATAAAAAAATAAGAATATTTACAGACAAATAGAGGAAATGTGTTTGTTTACGGCTCCCCTGCATGAGGCCCAATGTGATACTGTATTTTTACATTTGTTCAAAAGCCTGAACTTGTGGATTGTATGCAGCATTGGCATCAAATCCTCCAGACAAGATCAAAGCAGGGCAGAAACCACTAAATGTTGCTTTTGTGAACCAGAGTTCTGTGTGTGTGTGTGTGTGTGTGTGTGTGTTTATTGTCAGCAAACACCTGAGTTTCTCTAACAAGGCAGATTTGTGAGAGAAAACTTTCTCTGACGTGTTTTTTGCAGAGAGGTTAGCTCCGGTTCACGGGGCATCAAAGGAGTCCGCCGTATGAAAGAAATACAAAATGAAAGCATGGCGAATATCTGTCAGTGTCAGATGTTTTGCATTAAATATTCAGCAATCTGCCTGTTTGTTTTCCTCTGTTTGATGTTTGCTGAAGTGTAGTAACACATCTGTTTGACATGAATCAAATGGATGAACACTGGCAGACACAAGAGGGTGGAATAAATGCAGTGATTCCTTACAATCGCATTCTTTTCAAACATCTTACCTTTTTCTTTAGGCCTCTACAGGGCGTAGAGAATATATCACAACATATGCTCCTCCTGTACACCGCTTTGATCTTTATGATCGGAGCAAATATATCAGATGTTACAGCTAACTACTCTCAATTATTAAAATAAGAGAGAGAAACTGGAGAGAAGAAAGATAAAGAAGACAGGTTTCTATGAAGCCTATGTCCATAATGCATTATACGTACGTTTCCTTGAAGACCTTCTTCTGTTATCTGCAGAGTAAATAAGCCTACACTGCGTACGTACGGTGACGTACAGCGCAGCGTTGCATGAGCACCATATATCTGAGGGTTATTTACTGACAGTGACAGGCTGAAGGACGAAGCGCTGCGAGTAAAGAATGCGCTGCTGCCGTCGAGCTGCTCGGATGGAGGCCGCCGAGCGGGTTCTGCAAAAAAAAAAAAAAGAAGAAGCTCTTCGACAGCTTCTAACCTTGAGTACCAGAAAACACTCGAGCAGATATATGCGGCTCGTTAAGAAAAGGACGCCATTTTGAATATTGTTGAGGGAGCAGGTTGTGCGGTGTGTCGCAACCTTACCTTCACTCTTCACTCAGCAGAGGGGAGGTCAGGGAGTGATGGACAGGGGTGAAAGGTCGTGCTGAGTGGCTCTTCTTCCCGCGTGGCAGTGCTTCAGTCGCACCCGACCAGCCGGCAGAGGCCACCTGAACACAGCGGAGATACAGTGCTGTGAGCATGATGTGATGGGCATTGATGGGTTATTTTTAGGTGGTAACATTAAATTAACTGAATGCCCTCACATAGATTTGACTGTATATCTTAGTTTGCGTGTCGGTTTGCTAAGAATTCAATGTATGAATGTTTTCAAAGCTGCTATTAATGATTTAAATATGAATATTTTCTGCTCAATCTTATGATCTTAATCTGAAGATTCTCAAACGAGATATTACAACGAATCATTTCATGTCTGCAAAACCAATATTTAGGCTCTGCGAATCTCCTGTGAAATTCAAACATAGGCCACAACATACTTTTATCAAATGTCACATGAAATTCTGCGATACGACTAAATGAAAAATAAATATTGAACGGATAAATGCATCAGTAAAATTTGTGTTTTTGATATTAATATTCAACATTCTAATAGAGATTTCTTTTGTTTGGACAAAAAAACTGGAGGAAAAGCGAGAGGAACAGAGATGGGATCATTCTTCTGCGAAAGCAATAGTTTTATTTATTTTTGGTCCACTTTAGGGCAGCAAAACAAGCTGTGAACGCAGGAAGATCGGAAGTATTATCGCCTTTTAGAGTTGATACGTCGATCAAGTGTTCAGGTGCTTCTTTACACATCCAGCAGATACAGAGCAACACTAGCGCTCCTTTGGAGTCGTGTTTTGGGCCTTTTTAAACATCAGTCCGTCCTGTTGTTAAACCACAATGTGTGCGCTGCTGAATGAGACCTGAATCCAGAGGATATAATGTGATATGCGCCTACAGTGTCACATGTGCAACTGTATGTTTGACCTGTATTTACGTTTCGATGCAACATTCATTTCATACAGTTAATACAGTCAATTCGTATGTGAATCAGTCTTCTTTTAGCTTTGTTTTTGGTCCCCACCAATTCTTGAGGGAAATATCTGACTCTGCTGGCTGATAAATGCTGACTGGGCTCATTTTTTTGTGTGTTGGTCACAAGGAGCAACCCCTTTTAGTCATCTGGTACATTTTTTATATAAAAATATTGATTAGTGCAGCTTCAAATTCTCCAAAAATAGGATAAACTGACAAATTACGCCAGAATGTGAGTCGTAATGTGATGTGAGTCGTGGCCTCACCCGTCTGAATCGCTGTCGTTCGCGGCTGTGTTCTCAGCTGCTCCTCCCTCCTCATCCGCTGCCTCTCCTCATCTTCCTCCTCTTCCTCCTCTTCCTCCTCCTCCTCTTCCTGCAGGTGGTGGAAGTAGCTCTGGTCCCGCTCAATTGCTGATGCCAAACGTCTGCAAAGCAGAGAGATAGACGCATGCAGGAGTCACAAATACAGGGCATCACCGGCGTGCTTTAATGATGATATATGTTCACTTTCCAACAATCCAAAGGACAGAGAAGAAGAAAAACAAAAAGAAACAATAATAAATAAACCACAAATGCCAAGCGTACACATTAATCTCCTGTCTTTACTGGACATACAAAAAACATCAAAGCCGATGAGTTACATTTAAAAGAGCTTGCGTGACTTCAAAATAATCCCTTTCTCTCTCTCACACACACACACACACACACAAAGTGTGCACTGTAAATCATCCAAATCAGAGCACACCGAAACAGCAGGCAGGCACAAATGACACCTAACTAGAGCATTATGGGAGAAACGTGTTACGTCTGGCCAGATTAATGACTTAATTATGGCGGTTTAGCTTCCAACCGTAACCTTTCCTCAAACACTGTTTGCTTGTTTTTCTCATGCTGCACGCGTAATTACCTTTGCATTAATGTGGCGGTGGAAAATTAAAAGACGCTGCTTTGAAGCAACTGTCGAGGTGACTTTGCCAGCAGAACGGACCGAGGGAACACAGAGGTTCTTTTTTTTTTTTTTTACACGAGCAGCTCGCCTTCCTCTGGGTGAAGGAGGCGGACAAAAAGCAGCTCAAAGTGTGTCCTGCTATGAAGCTCTTCATGACGAGCTGGAATGGAGACTCAAGGTTGGCGTGTGATCCTTTAGTTGTTGGAATCAACAGGGATTCAAAAGGAATATTACTTTGCTCTGTGTGTGCTTTCAAACGAAATAAAAAGTGTGGTTCAGCTTTGGTTGCTGATGTTTGGAGGGAGCTCAGCAGTCATCAAGTATTCCAATATGACTGTGACTGAGACAATATCTAGAGAATAATGTTTGTTAGGATTGGGTGATAATTCAGTGTTATATACTTTCAGTATAGTGAATGGAGAAGATATGATCACAGTGTTTTCTTTGACAATATCCTGCTGTCCAAAGGAATGATTTCAAGCAAACTGTAATTAGAAAACTACCAATATGAGTCGTTTAAAGGTAGCGTGTGAATGGGTCTGTTTTTTTTCCTTTTATTTTTCTATCAGCACATGCACACAAGATATTCATGCACACAAGATATGAATCCCTGCTCACGGTTTCATGCTCTTCCACTGATCGCCAGTTGGTGGCAGTAAGGAGACAATAAACTACATTTATCCTGCAACAGGTAGAGAGAGAAAAAAACATGCCCCAAGAAGCGCTACCGGCTTTGAAGCTAATTTTACATCGTAAAGTTGCAACTTGATGCCGTTGGGCCAACAATACTTAACATAGGGAAAGAAATGTCCGCAGATCAGCGGATCATATATTTTTTTAGGTTAATCAACTTCTCAGTATGAGCACTTGAATAGGCCTTATTTAAATCATTAAGTCCTAAAAGTTGTAAAATGCACTAATGTCCAAATCCAGAGTTATTTTCCTTCTGTTCGTGTGAATGAGCCTGAGATCGAGTGGCTATGAGGCGGGTCTAAAGGAAACGCTAACGCGCTAATAGTAGCCACCACTCAGCTTGGCTGACAATTTGTTCCAGTTGCCACTTGCAGTACTGCCCCATAGACCACCACTTTAAAAGAGGCCTCTGTGAAACCTTTGACAGGACGCCTTGAACTGTAAACATGTCAATTATTTCTTTTTGTGTTGTGAATTTCTAACCCATGAAGGTTTTGTATTTGCGAAACTTACCCCAGGGCCTAGAAAGAAAATGTTCATGTTTGTAACATCATCTCAACGTAAAGTCTACGGGCCGAGAGGCAGAAACACTAATGTGCATGTGCAGAGGGCCTTCGAGGCTCGAGCAAAGCTGCACAAAACTTTTCAGATGTTGTGTTCAATGAGCATCTTCTTGGAACATGCTATCCAGTTCTCCTAATAAAACCGTCATATATGATGCAGGTTCCCGACATAATCAAAATTTAGCAAATGTTTTTATGAGGAGGGAAATGCATTCATTGGTGTTTGTTGGAGATCATTTCGCTAACCCAGATGTCCAGAGTGACTCGAGGTGAATAGAACAGCTCCAATCTCCTGATTTATAAACGCAACAAGCGAAAGAGGAGCGAGGATCAGAGCCACAGTGACCTAGCAATATTCTCGTGACCTTTCCCTTTCCTTTTGCAAGCAAAAGCACAAAGGCCTGCATATGTTCCAGCCCCTCTGCAGCTCCAGTTCTTATTTATTTTCTAGCACGCGAGCTGGCTGGTAATATTTTCGCCCACAAGTAGAGCCGAGCACTTCAAGCTAGGAGGGGGGAGGACAGAGCACTTGTGTTCCAGCATGCTAATTTGGCTCCGTTTCGGCGATACGCAGAGCGCACCAGTTTAGCTCGGAGGCATGTCTGTTCTATTTGCATACCGCCACGATGTTACTTATTAATCTTCAGATGTGACATCCAAGTCCAAAATGCAGCAGTCTTAATTAAATTGTGGTTCTATCAGCATCGCTAATGACTCGGAGCTGCGAATGTGCAAAAAAAAGTTGTTCCCGGGAGTAGCTGCCGGCTGCCAAGAGTGTGAGAGGCGGCTCAGTGACCTTGCCTCAGACGTGACTCATTTTGTTAGCTCTTTGTGCTAAAGTGACTCTTTCGCTTTTAATTCAGCTTCTAATTGATTCACATCTTATAACTGGCAGGCATGTGGATGTCTTACAGCCGGTGTTTGATGCTCCGCTCGCACAAATGTTTGTGACAACAGCAGCGATTCGTGTCTGAATGAAACATGAAAGGTGAACAGCAACACGCCGAAGGGAAAGGGAGAGAAAGAAGCAGGCGGAAGAAAGCGGACGAGTCGATGACGGGCGGCAGAATTTGGTGCGACAAGAAGAAAATTATATTTTAAAAAGGCATTGTGAAGAAGCAATGTATCATCAATACGTATATGAAACTTTTTGTGTTTGAAAAGCCGAGACGCTCTGAAGTGAAACCCCATTATGCCTTTCTTCTCATCCTCACCGTCTGTCCTTCCAGCCAATAACAAGTTACTCTTCTTTGTGAGACTGAATTATGAGCACAAATCCGAGCCTGGCTCGAAAAGCTCATTAAAGATGATAATGCTCGGAAAGGGAGGCTTGATCGGTGGCTGCAAATTGATTGCAATGTAAAAAATGTAGACATTTGTGTGTTGGGGGAGGGTGGTGGCGGTGGTGGCGGAGCGGGGACAGTTTTTATTTTAACAGATCAGATCACGGGAACCCTTGGGTGGCAGCTTGTTGCCAGGCAACAAAAGAGATAGGGTTTTTAGGAAGGTTGAGGCATCTTCACAGTGATTAGACCAACTAAGATGTTGTGGCTTTATTCTGAATCGACTCTCACGTCATCGTAAATTACAATACACAAGTTATGATTAAAGCCTTTAGCATTGGGGTATTTTGTTGGGTGTGATACGCGAGCGACAGCGACATGACGTCAAATCTCATTTCATAATTAAACCCTGATTATGAATCCATCAGAAGAATATCCGCCAGCTGCAACGTGACGAGAAACAGGACTCCCGGCAGCGTGGCGACGGTTCACGTCAACATCGCCGGAGACAAACGGCAGAGCACGATGCAACACAAGCTGGCGCAGTCATGAATGACAGAATGCCACGGGCAAGGCGCTGAACACGCTGATTGGGCTTTGTAGTGTCTGCTGAGACAAAACAAAAAAACAGCGAGTACGAAACCCAAACCGGATTCTCGTTGTATCAGCACAACACATATTTCCATGGAGCATCTCAGTTCACCTACATGTTGTGACAGAAGTTCATGGTGTATGAGGATTGGTAGCAGTGCCAAGATGCAAAGAAAAACCATGATGTAAATAACATGAGGTGCAGGAAAACATCAAATTCAGCTTTAAATGCGCGTCCTAATTTCCCCCTCATCTTTAAATGGAGACATTTATTACAGCTGTGTCTGTGTTTGGGGGATTACATAAATTAAGTGACAAATCCCCGTCCTACAGAGGAGGATTAGGGCCATTTGAAATACATTATTTGACATTATGTAATATCATCATCCAATTTTTCTGATATTTTTTGTGCTTTTAACTGAGAATCGTGATCGTTTTTCTGAATTCCGACCTTAATCAAAGAGCTCCAATGACCCCCCCCCTCCCAATACTCTTTCATACTCCTCTTGACATGAATTGGATTAATGAAGATCTGACGAGTAAAGCTCTTTTTCCCTTGTCAGGATACATTATTTCATATATCTGGATGTCACAAAGTGTTATTGCACTTTTGCGTACCACTTCTCAGAAACGAGAGAAAGGGGAAAGTGTTCAAATCATCCAGTTTTCAAGACTTTGTTTGAAATCTGACGAAACATCAGTTATATAAGTATTACAATGGTTTCTAAGAGTTAAATATACCTTGTGAACAAAGCTGATACTAGACCCAACGGCCCACCTTTGATTATTTTAACAGAGCAAAATTATGCATCTCAAAGAATAATTTCAGCGCCCGGCAGCAGTGGCTCCTCCTCAGGCCAGGAGCAGAGCTTGGCCTCGCTGCTCCGCTGGGAGCCGACACCACGCTGCTGGAGGCCTAGGCTGTATTACTGGGCCTGCTGAAGGGAAGGGAGGCAACGGGAGAACCAGAACCAGGACTGAGCGTGGCAGACTGTCAGACCCTGCTGCAGTAAAATGAGAGGTTTGCTAAAAGGACTCTGGTGCTCGGAAACACTACCGCTTCAACAATCCACAAAAATGAAAGTTTCTCCTAGTAACTGTGACTATTGTAACGTGACTTACATAGTAATGTTACCATCTGAGTATAGCAGGAAAAGAGGAACGTTAAACGAGGTCCTACCGGGTTCCAAGCTTACTCAACGGTTATTGGAGCAGAGAGCAAAAGGGGGCGGGGCTTAGGAAGGGTAAGATTTCGTAGCTTAGCATAGAAACTGGAAGGGGAAACAGCTATTGTTTCTCTCTCTAAAGTTCAAAAATACCAGTAATAATTAACATGTTGTATCTCCTCTGAAAGATAGATGTAAGACAGACAAGAGGATCTAATGGTCAGATTCATATATAGACAGCCATTATGAAACATGAAATTGCTGGACAAACAGCCCGCTACGTGGCAATTGTTTCCACGAAACTGTCCAAACTGAAAAACAAAACCAGGCCGAATAAGTTCAAGACGTTTTTACTCTGGCCAGAGAAGCAGTAGAGATGTTCAACAAGTGAGCTGACAAGAGAACGGGCTGCCGTTTGGCCTTAAAGGCATCACAGTCCTTAACCATCACTACTGTATTTACTTGCAGGGATAAACAGCCACATTTTTTCATCTGGAGGGGGGGGGGGGGGGAGCATCTCCTGTGAAAATGGCAACCTTTCCCCGTAACACCGGTATGAATAATTCAACACTCTGGGCTCTATCAGAGGCTGTCAGAAATGTCAGCCGGTTGGAAGTACCCTTGGCTGCCCCCAAAGGATTTTGACTCTGCACCCTGTGGTGGGGTTAGGGGGCCACACACACACACACACACACCCACACACACACACACCAAATGCCACAGCTTTTCCAGTGGCAGGACTCCACTGCCTGCAGGACACTGAAAGCGGAGCGTACCTGCAGTGAGCAAATTGTTGCAGATTTCCTCCCTTTACCCCCCCATAAATAGCTGCTGCTATTGCAGTCCTCATCTGTTTTAGTGGGGGGGAAGTAGCTAGACACCACATGTTTACACCAACAGACGGGATTGATTTGTCCCGTATTTGCTTGAACACCCCCAGATGTAAGTCTCACCTGGTGTGGCCCATGCAGGTGCTTCCTCAGGGAAACGATATCAGCCCTTTCACCAGCCTGCGTGCGACAAATTCAGGCAAACTCTGAAAGGAAAGTGCATAAAAACAAAGACATAAAATCAAAAGGACAAGCAGCTATTATCTTATTGTCTTCCGAGTATAGCTCTAGTACTCAGAGCACTGTTTCACCTGAAAGACTCTGCCGCGTCCCCATGTGACCTCTGCAGAGGCGAATTGGGCAGCAGGCCGAGAGTAAAAGACTACGTCTCTAATATAACATCACATATGGAAATGACAGATAATCCAGCAATTAATCTACATAATTAACTGCGATGAGTAAAAAAACAACAACTCTTTAAGCGAGATAAAATGATGTTTTCTGCAATGTAAATTAGATAACAGGGTGTGAGAGGAGTATAAATGTGGGCGTAATGATTAACAGTCACACCTTACTTCCTCCTGTGGAATCTGGAGGGTTGCTGTTAATGGATCGGTCCACTATCTTTGGTGGGTCATCTGTAGTCGCCTATGAATCATCAGAGTTGAGGAAAAGGGGCATTAGCGTGGACGGGATATTCATGAAGATGTTCTATCTTCAGGTCTTTCATTTGACTAATTTAGGCAGCTACAGAACCGATTAAATCCAACGGGTGATAACTGAGGATACTTATTTCCAACATAATCTCGAGCTGTTAAAAACATACGTTAAATTAAATTATATCAGTATCAACCAGGCTGCAATCTCCACTTCTGGAAAGTGAAACCAATGCGGAAGTGTCTTAAACCTGCATTCCCTCTAACGGCCACCAGGGGGCGACTCCTCTGGTTGCGATAAGAAGTCTGATTGTATGGAGGTCATTGAGAAAATGACCCTAATTCTAGCTTGATGTATTCCCTCAGTAAACATTGTATCTTATGGTCTCAATCGCTAGTTTCAAGGTTTTCTTCAATACAGCATGATGTTCATTCAGTAAGTCATGGTCCATTTAGAGTCAAACAGACCATAAAGCAGGGTATGCTTTAGGGCAGGGCTACCTTGTGATTGACAAGTCGCTACCAGAGAACTGGCTGCAGACTAAAGCCCTTCCCCCAAAAGTGATTGTTCACTCAAAGCTTAGCAGCCATAGGTCTGAACTAGTGCTCTATCTGCAATTGTTAGCACGTCCTAATAGGGCTGCACAGTTAATCATATATTTCGATTTTTTGGCTGCATAATGAAAAGTACACGAGTTAAATGAAATCCTTATGTCTTTGCAGCATTTACTGCACATTGTTTTTATGTCTTCGCTATATTTGATTGTACAGCACTTTGGTCGACTGTTGTTCTTTTTAAATGTGCTTTATGAATAAATAAATAAACATCACCAAGAACGCTATTTCAACTGTAATGTGAGAGTCTGTGAAATGTGTTTGGAGCCATGCAAAACTACACACACACACACACACACTCCGGTATCTCAGTTGGTAGAAAGCTGTTGTTCAAATTCACAGTTCTTTATTTAAAACGGGGGTGATACCAAAGATTCCAAAGATACTCTAGAATCTAGGATATTTCCATTTAATGATGACGCAGCCATAAAAACATGAAGTCTTGGGTTTGATAAAGAGTTGGAACAAACTGATACAGAATATGTATGATACTGTCAGACAGAATGATTTACAATCGTAATGCTCGGGGGAAAAAACTGCGTGAAAAGGGGTTAAAGAAAATTGAATTCCAGAGTGTAAATGCTGAATCTTTGGTGGTTAATATGGTTAAAAATGGCACTCCGCTAAATGTCATGACTTTTTAGATTCAAAGCTACAGATGAACTGGACAAGAACCGAGCTGATCTCAGGTCTTTGAGCTGCAGCACCCAAAAGGACAAAAGAAAGGTGCCGAAAATGCCACGGCCGTCGTATTTCACTGCCGGGCTTCTCTCCGCCCCACCGTCTCTCTTCATCTTCCTCCTCCTCATCATCATCACCATCATCATCTCCTTTGTCCCCCCGTGCGCTTCTGCTGATGGATGAGCTTGTTTGCTGCAGATCTCTTTCGAGTCAAACCGGGACACTGTTGTTGCCTCTCTGCTACTCCAGTGGACACCAGAGAATAGAGACCCCGGCACATGAATGCTGTACGGGGCCCGCATGCACGCAAATAAAATGCATGTTCCAATTCATACCGAAAAAAAAAAAAAAGCCTGTGTATTTCCCATCAACACCCAGGAGTAACGCTTATTGCATTTGCCTTAACGGCACCACAGAGAGCTGAATCAAAAGCATTGCAAATGCAATAACACAGAGCGGGAAACTGCAGAAGATGAGATTGCCTTGTTTTCCCTCCTTAGTGATTTACAGTGTATACGGGGCAATTCTTGTTCACTGTAGCCATAGAGACAATGGATTGGCAACAGCCGGCATGGCTAAACCAATTCAGCGAATGAATTTTCTCCCCCCAATGGCGTCGTTTTAGTGTTAGGTTCAAGCATCACTCCGCATTATTTCCGACTCATCGCTGGCTGCAATAACTTGTAAAAACTGCTTTCCAAAAATACATTTCCATAGATAAGCCACTCCACTCTGATGTGTCAGTTTTGATACGGACTCTCTCTATTCGCCGGCCAGCCTCAGAGACTGAGCCAGCACCACAATAACTATGATGAATGCAGTGTCCACAGGAACAAACCAGCCATTTGACACTTCCATCCCCCTCTTGATGCATTAGCTGCTGATATCCTGTGGATCCGTGGCTGTTTGAAGCCTCATGAGTCGCTGTGACTCCCCCCTCCCACCCGAGCATAAGGCCGTAATCATCGAACAATTGTCAATGTCTTACTTCAAATGCATTTGTTAGAGGGAACAGGCTTTGGGGGATCAGACGCAGCATCTGTGTTGGTGATTATGAAAACTGACTCTGCGGAGCCCACCGGGGCCTTCAAAACGAACTCTGAGATCCTCTCCAACTCCAGTCGCACGGAGGACGGTTCAAAGTAAACTGGGTCATGGGTGTGCTTCCCGTCCTCCTCTGACTGAAAGTCCGAAATTATGTTTTCATCTGGGCTGGAAAATTTTGATTTGCGACACACTTGATGTGCTTGAGGGCGGTCAGTGTCCATTAAAAAAAGCGACCGGCATTGGATGGAACTGCTCTGTGAAGCCCGGAGATGGTGAGGGAAAGGTGTTTTGGGGGGGGGGGGGGGTGATGAATGAGAGATAGAAACCCTGCCATGAAATGAGAGCAATCACACACATATACCCAGAAATATATGAAAATATCACTTGACAGCGGCATTAGCAGTTCAAGGGAGGAAAAACACGGGTGTAGTGGGACCATGAAGACTTTCTGATCTTTAGCAGCTACCAGATGGAATGGAAAAAAGAGAGAGGCAGAGAGAGAGAGAGAGAGAGAGAGAGAGAGAGAGAGAGAGTTTGGATTCTCTCAAATGAGCCATTTTTAATTTTGAGTGAGATGAATAAAGTGCCAGCCATCTTTGAAGTTAATCCTGATTCAAGGCATCAAAATGATTTGGTGATGATGTGTTTACACGAGATGGGGGGAAAGTCATCTGAGAGAAGATATTATAAAGTCTGACGCTCTCTTTTATCTACACAAAGACAAACAAAACAAACTGTATTGAAACTGAGTGAAATCATGCAGGTTTATTTAGGCTAATGACTGAAAATACATTTTACCACGTGCTGTTGTCCCACATTGTCGAGTTTAGGTTTAGTGTCCAGGTGTTAGGGAAGTCTGGGTGCCTCACTCGGTCCCCGGGGCACTTCCGGGCAGCCGTGCCGGGCTCAGCTGCACCTGTCGGTGGTTATCACTCTCCAGGGAGTCCGGCTCCTCTCGACCCGGACCGGGCGCCCAGTACTGTTCCGAGCACAACGTGTCCGGGGTCACAAACTAGGACCGGCTTTGGCTGCACAAAGACGTAACGGAGCCAGCGTGCAATTTCGATTAATCATGATAAGTCTGTACATTAAGAGGAAAACTAAAAGTTGCACAGGAACAGTGAGTAAATAATTGAGCTAAAGTGTCCAAACATTTCTACAAACTTCGGCTCCATGCGTTTTCGCACCTGCCAAATGAAGCTCAGCCCACCAGGAAGTAAAAAGTTATTAACTATGTGGCCAAAAGTATATGGACACTACAAAGACCTAAATCATACCAGATTTTGCTTCATCATGACACTGTGATATGGAAGCCCATTGCCGCCACTGTGAGGAACAAATAAAGATCCTGTAAGTCATTATTATGAGATACTATCTCAAAATAATGACTTAGTATCTCATAATTATGACTTAGTATTATGACTTAGCATCTCATATGAGATACCAAGTCACAATTTTGAGATGCTAAGTCATAATTATGAGATGCTAAGTCATTATTTTGAGATAGTATCTCATTATAATGACTTACAGGATCTTTATTTTTTCCTCACAGTGGTGGAATTGGGCTTCCATACTATTAACACTCGAGGCCCTTGTTTGGTTAATTTGTAATAAATTAAAGTATGTGGTTGCAACTTGACAGCTAATTGTGATTTAAACCACGTTAATATGAAGGATTCTAACAGGTGGATGAAAGTCTGACTTGTTAGCGTGATGTAGCTAAGTGCCTATTCATATCACAAACTACATCGAGGATGATGTCTTTTAAGCATGTCATTCACAATGGCTGGTAAAACAAATGTAGAGACAGTATGGGAATTAAAGATAGCAAAATCACCAAATCCCTTTTATTCCACAAGATTTCAACATTAAACTGGCAGCTATGGGGACGTCCTAAGCTAGCTACCTTTAGCAGGAGTTTAGGTTAGCTAGCTGTGCTAAAGCTTTTTATTTTGCATTGTCACTGGTATAATGTATAAATAACTCAGTTCATGTCCGCCAAAATAACAGTTAATCGAAATGTATATGTTTTAATTTACAGACAACAGCTATAACTAAAAATAAATAGTAATGAGTAAATGTAGATGTAGCTTTAGCTAAGGCTAAGGCTAGGTATAGCTAAATCACCTGCTAGCTTGTGCTTATGTTTTAGCCCTCTTGCTTTAGTAGTCTATTGGGTTGTTAATTAACATTTCAGCAGCCAAAGTTCATTTACTGCAGTTTTACTTTACTTTATTTTAATTTTATTTACTTTAACTACACATTTTTTATGGCATAATATTGTTTTTCTAGTAAAGCAGAAGTCAAAATAACATCACACTAAGTCATGGTAACTCCTGAGTCAGATAAAGTGCAGGGTGATATCAAATCCAATAAGATTAGATGTGGAACTGTTATTATTTACACAAACATGTATGCCTTTTTGCATTAGACAGTTTGACTTGTCACTGCAGGAAAAGCATAAAGTGCAATTATGAACATTGATGATGGCTCTCGTCTATTAGGAGTCCCAGTGGGCATCCAAAATGAGACAGCAGACCAGATCCAGTTGTTATTATTGTTAATAATTACTTTGTTTTGTCTATAATATGAAAAGCATGTGTCAATGTGGCATGTGCATGTGGCATGTGCTATAGTGACATTATTGCTCTGTTCTGTTCAAGCCGTGACAGTGCAGTGAGTGAGCATGTAATAGCGGTATTCTTGAACTGAAGCAGCTAAATGAGAGTCAGCCTTATTATTTTCATATGTGCTGTTCCTATTCAAATTGCCTGCCAAGAAAAAGGCCTGTTGTCCTCTAATTAGTCTCACTTTCTTAACTGTTAAGAGTCTTACAACCTGCAAACATACCTGACTATTGAGTGACTAGAACAGAGAATGCCTCTGCTCTACATTAACTTGTTTTCATCATTCAGTATTTGTATCACTCACCAGTGAGATTATAGATGCTATTAAACCATCAATCACACTGACTTTATTGATATTGGCTAAGGTGAGGTGCCAAAGCTCTTTCGTTATTTTTTGGTTGGTTTTGTAAAAAATCAAAGCTCAGTGTGAGACTGCATGCAATCAATTTAAATTAATATATCAAGATAATGTTGCAGAATCAATAATAATTTTCCCACACTCCATCTATCTATCCTTTCATGCTCCATCTCTTCAGTGCCAATTCAGTCCACACAGCTCTGAGATCAACCTGGAAAACTCTCAAAATTAAAAAAAAATTACACTCTAATCACCGTGTGACCAATTATCCATTTCACTACACAGACACAGAATAGAAGTGTTGGATGACAGGATGTTAGTTTATTTACTGCTCCATGTTTCCTTTTGTCCGATCTATGGAAGCATTTAGTGAGCTTTCCTTGTATCAAGAGGGCCTTGTTTATTATGTGGTGAATGGTGGAATTGCACATTTTTGTAGCAGTAAACTACAACATTTGGATACATTGAGATGACATTTTGGAGTTACGTTTAAAACTATGTTTCTTATTAAAAAATATGGCTACAATTATAAGAAAATTGGTAAAAACTGTTTAATAATATCCATATTTGAAGGTTCTTTATTCAACATTCAGAGCATTAATATAGCAGCAAACTATTTGCTATGTAAAGATATGGTGGAGTAACATCTGAGCAGAGAATGGCCAACACCGATCATTCACCCAGAGGCCGCTCCATGTGAAACGAGAAGTCAACAGTGATGTATTTGTCACGTAACCTGCGTACTTTAGTAAGGGCGCTTTCGTAGTTATTTTGTCTAAACCTAACTTAGTTGTTTCCTTTGAAGACTGAAGTTTATTTTGAAAAGACTGCTTGCATGTAACGAGCAGAAAGTGACACGCTTTGCATGTTTTCGTAGGAAAATGCACGAAGAATGAAGAGTAACTTTTCGTAAGATATCGTACGAACTATTGTATGAGAATACATTTCCCTGTTAGCTCTGTCGGCACTGTTGATGATGTTTCCACTGTTAGCACGGTTAGCTTCTAGCTGCCGGCTCAGCTGTGAGCCATTTGTGTGAAACTCATATTTGAGAATACGTCAATATTCTACAATAATCTTAAATTTCCTCTCTCATACTCATACTTTTTTCCAAATTGTATTTCCACCTTTGCCTTCCAAACTTTTGAAGAGTATGAACATCTTGGTGCACCGTGGGCATATGTGCCTTTAATGTGAACAGGATGGAAGTCTCTATTGATGGTTGAAACAGAGGAGGCAACTCCGGCAGCAGCAGCAGCAGCAGCAGCAGTGAAACCCAATTTAACCTCTCACAGTATATCCTACAGACAGAATTTGTGGGTAAGGCATCACACAAAGTGTCAGAAACATCTGTTCAATCTGTTTTGTGCTCCAGTGGACAGTATGCCAAGATCTCAGGGCACACGGCTCTAAAAATGAAACACTGACAAGTCTGTCACACTTGATAAAAGAGGGAACAATAATAACCCTGTTGAGACTACCGAGCGAAAGAAAAATGGAAGTGGAAGGGAGCTTTGCACACACACACACACACACACACACACATGCCACTGAAACGTTTCAGATAACACAAAACAGATACTTTTGTGTCATCCTCGGCCTCCAGTGGAGGTATTTCATGCTCCAGACAAACCACTGCCACTGTGTGTCCTTTGAGGAGGGTGAAACACAGCGAGAAGAGACACTCTGGATGGCTCACAACACTGAGGAGCCCAGTCACCACTGACAGAATAGAGTTCACCGGGATGTGAGAAGAGAACGGCCCTAAGGCAACAAGTGCAACAGTTCAAACACAAACTAGCCCCAGCCAACTGCTCGCTATTTGCCATTGCACCTTCAAAAGATAAAAATACAACTAATTAGTCTGCCGCCTTCTTCAGGCCAGCGAGAGGTAGCGGCCTCCCTCCCTCCACACCCATCACCCCATGCATGCCCACACATACCCGCTCATGGGATCGGCATGAGTGCTTAATAAGTGCTAAAACAGACAGGAGCAGTATATAAAGCCCTGCATAGATTTCTCAGTCTCACCGCCCTCAGCTTTCTTCCCTCACTCCTTAAGCAGATTTTAATTGTTGAAATTCAACAAAAGAGCCTGCAATTCCAGTTTTCTTTCCAGGTCCATAGGGGGTTTTTTTTTTGTCTGTAATTTTATTTCTTGAAATCATGAGCGAACTTGACAAAACAGAGTCGTCATCCGGGGCGAACGGCGGAGGTGTCCCCTGGTTTCCCCTGAGTAAATGGTGGCAGTACAGCAGGCTTTTCAATCAGGATGTTGGCATGCCGCCTTTCCTGGAGCCGGGGGACCCTCGGTGGATGGACGTGGACCGGCTCCAGAGGAGTTTGGCCGGCTGCTTCTGGCCGGGGTACATACCCGCTCCGCTGTTTGTGCCTTACATCTCTGGGCCCATGAATCATGCCGGCCAGCAGATTAACAAGGAGCAGTACAAGTGGAGGGTCGGCCTGGAAGTGGCTCACTTCTTCCCCTCAGAGATTTCACTCAGCGTCAGAGACGGATTCCTGGAGGTCGGAGGTACAGAGCTTTGGCGTGCAGTTCTGTTAGTTAAACAGCATTAAGAGTTCACTTTAGCATTGCTAATTACTTTTGCACACAGGATAGTTTCTGCTCAAGTATTAATAATTGCATCTATCTAATATTATAATCTCTTAACAGAGTTATCTGAATAGACTTCTCTCTCAGTTCACAGAATAAACCCCTCAAAACTAAACACTAATGGAAAGGAAGCTGAACGAAACAAAATTAGAAAGCTGCTGAATATAATGGGCTCGGGGAAATCACGGCGCTGTGGCAGAAATTAATTTCTGTGTTGAGTGGTTGCTCCGTGTTGCTCGATTCCTCTGTGTGTCCTCACATTCTTCCCCATAAACGGTAATCCATCCCCAGGGAGGCACGAGGAGAGGCCGGACGAGCATGGATTTATTGCCAGATGTTTTACAAGGAAATACAGGTATGCAGAGTAAACACTGATAATAAACCTGCAGACTATTACACACACACACACACACACACATTCTACGCCGAATGCAGACATCTGGAAAAAATAAATAGATATTACTGTATGTACATTGTAAACAGGATTGTGTCGTTTTTCAGGCTGCCAGCTGAGATTGATGTGACCAAAATCGTATCCACGCTTTCTGTTGACGGTATCCTGACTGTGGAAGCTCCAGTTTCCAAACCCTCCGTTCCTCCTGCCATCATCATTCCCATAAAGGTGACCACAGCGGGGAGGTTTTTTCACATTTAGAGCGAGACACCCCACGCTCTGATACATTTTGATACTTGGGGCTATTTTGCTTCCATAACATGTCTTTATTCAGACTAAACTAAATTAATTAAAAAACAAACACACTTTTAGGTGTTTATCTCGCTAATTTGTCTACTTGTTTCTGTAGTTTTGTCCTAAATTCAGCAACGGTTTGCATTAGATAATTCCTCATTTGTACATTTAAACATAACCTTTCAGAAAACGTGTAATACAAAGGATGATTGTCTCAATGTAAGTAATAATGTGGGGACGTTTCATAGTGATATTAATTAGTTAATAACTGTTACCCTTTTGAGCCAGACATGTCCACTTCAGTAGCACAACAAACCTTCCATTTTCATTTTTATCTCTATTCCGAAGGTTTTTAACGTTCATATATGATTCATCTATAGATGTCATTTCTAAAAAACATGGTGAAATTGTTTTTTTGAGTTTTCTGATTAACACAAAAAGATATCCAAATTCCCTCTGTAAAAAAACCTTTGACTCCAATTCATCAAAATTAATTTTGAACCTGGCTTTATCCACTGTGCAGATTTCTGCTCTGGAAATATATCCAAATGAGTGCATATTAAATAAGATAATTCCTCATTTGCACATTTAAACATAACATTTTAGAAAACGTCTAACACATAAAAAGAATTGGCTCGCTGTGAGTAATCACATGGGGAAGTTTCATGCTGACATCTATCAGTTAAGCTTTGCCCTATTCACTTGGAGTGACTCCCTTAAAGGAATTGTTTGACATTTTGGTATATGTGCTTATTTGCTTTCCTGATGAGAGTCAAGCACATTTCCCATGTCAATGCATTCCTTCCAACTGGAGAGTTTAAAGACAAGTTCTGAACAATATGTGCTGATTGGATCCAACTCAATATCCCTCTTAAATCTCCACTTACGAAAGGACTGGCATGCAAGTTCAGTGGTATCGAGGTGGGGCATGAGAGCTGAGCTAGCTGTAATGACTTCATTTCACCGCTGACATTTCCTTCATATTTATGCACAAATACAGGTGGAGCTGGAGGTGACTGGAGAAAAACAGGAGAAATATGAAGCCCCTGATACAGAACTGGATAACTGCAGAGCACCGGAGGCCCAGTGTTTTCCGTCTGCAGAAGACGATGGGGAAGAGTCTCAACGAGAGGTTCAGGGCGATCAGGCCCACCCTGGCAGCGCCACAGCTGGGCCTCAGCAGCATGACGAGGGGAGGGAACAGGAGGAGGAGACCCACGAAGACCCAGCCGGAGAGTCCAGCCCTTCAGCACCTGTAGATGGCGAAGACATAGTAAGTCTTCAAGATTCTCAGAAGAGCCGTGAAGATGAGGAAATCCACACAGATGCATCCGAACAGGCTGAACACAAAGAACCAGCCGTGGATGGAGAGATCCAGGTGATGGCAGGCTCAGGGGAGGAGGCCACAGAGGAGATCACCCACCCTGAGGAGCCAGAGCTGGGCGAGAGTCCACAGAGCGAGCAGGGCCCGAGCCAGGAGCTGGACGCCGCCGAAGTAAAACAAGAACACGCCGAGTAGAGGCACGAATATCGGCGAAATGTTGCACACACACACCACATTTTGACAAAACACTGAAACAGCCTGCACAGCTTGCCTTGCGCCAGTTCAACAGATGCATTTTAGTCCGTAGATACACGTAGCCATATGTAACCACGCTGTCTTTGGAGCTCCAATAAAGCAAGAGCATGTGAAAATTGTGTTTGTGTCACTCATTATTCCCATGTTTTTTTTACATCCTCTCAATCTTTAAACGAATGTGTGAATTTGCAACCGTTCCTGAATAAGTGATCAGTCATGAGCATCATATTCATACCTCTGAAAATACATGAGTGCAAAATAAAAAAAAGAAGTGATTAATTATCATGCCGTTCCAGCTAAGAGGTTTTGACATTAATATGATACTATACGTTTGCACAGCTGTGCATTAGTCACTTCCACGTGAATAGCTTGCCCAATTATGGCGTTGCCATGGCAGCACAGGTCCACTCATCATCTAATAGCAGTAAATATAGATGTTTTTTCAACTTCTTTTCCCAGCTGATCATCCCTCCTGATTCCAATACACAGAGAGGATTGCAATATTTTACATCACACAGCATGCAAAGGAGCTGCCCCAATTTTTTTTAATTTTTTTGCGCACTTGCATACAAACAGCTGTGGCAGTGCTGCCTCCGTGCATTTGGCCCATTCCGCAGCACACGGCGGTGCCAATCTCAGCCAGCACTAAGCCCTCCGCTAATCTGCTGCCCAATTCCTTCTGTTATCCAACAATAACACCACAGGCTCCCTGGATCCTTGGTACCGGGCCAGAGAGTGGCACGGCTCTCAATAAAAAGACACAGATGTTAAGACACACTGGGAGATTGGCTGGACATCTTTTTTATTGCATCAGCCAACACAAAGACGGCAACAACAAAAAAAAGAATGCAGGAGACAAACGTCTTTGGCAAACAAGTCAGACTGTCCGCTTCAGCAACCATGCGGCCATCTTCCCAAACACTCAAATAGAAAAAAAGAAAAGAAAAAGGAAGCAAACCATGTTGCAAAACGTGGAACACTTTAGATTAATATTTAGATTAATACTTAGAATGAATTGGCACATGAAGTATATTTACAATACACTTTGGTAGAATACGATTCACCCCATAATGAAGCCACAAAAGGTAACTTGCTTTCGATTCTTGTCAGTTTAAATGACATTCATCAACTCAAAAGATAAACAGCTGAAGAACTGAAGGAAGTCAAGGCACTCAAGGAAATAAAGGCACATTTGTTTTTTTTTCAACCAAATAAAATCACAAACAATACAATCGATGCAAAAACCTCCAATAAATGAATTGCATGTTAACATAAATACAACTATGATTCACATTCAGTGTCATATTAACTTACCGGTTAGTGAGAATGCTGTGACTTATGATGCATCAGCCGCCCAACGGCTCTTGCATAACCTCAGGATATAACTATGTATAATATTAAAGCTGCACAAGACAAGTTTGTGAACTTGGAAAAAAATCGAATAAAACTTCACTGCAGTTCTGAAGATATGCATTTAACGGAAATACATGAGAGACACAGACTGACAGTAGAGGGTCTAATGGAAGAAATCAAACAGCAGTGCATGTTTATCCAAGCAGCTGGTCTCCAATCATTGTAATAAAAGAGTTTAAAAAAAACACCTTGTGTTTTGGGTTCTTCTGGACATTTGAGTTTTGGGTTTTGACATGAAAAAGAAGTGACACCTGAATTTAATTTGGGCAACGCGGCCAATGTAGAGCATCTCTGTCTGTAGGATCAGGAAGCTCTTCACTTATCTGCTTGTATACTTAAAATCTCTGCCTTGTGCAGCTTTAATAAGGACCTCAAACAAGACTCACCTATTATATTTTACACATTAACATTAGGCTGAAGGCCACACATTTCCTATCAAACATGTCTTCAATAGTGCAGGATGATTCGTTACGTTAGTGAGGACGCTGGGTTTTAGACTGCGGGGGCCTCCTGGGGCTTGAGGGCCTCCACCTCCACCTGCGCGTCTCCACCCTGCGGGGAGCCCTCGTCGCTGAAGAGGTAATACGGAGGCGTCTGCCGAGCTTCGATGATGAGGACGCCCTCGGGGGACAGGGAGGCGAAGACGGTCACGGGGTCCACATCTATCGGGATCCTGATGAGAGAGTAAGAGAGGTGAGAATGAGTGAGTGGGATTTTTTTATGCAAAGGGTAGAAGTTCAGATGTTAAGAGTAGCAGAAGTTTACTTGGTGTAAAATCTGTGAGCTGCTGTGTGTTCAGCATGTTTAAAAGCACGAGTGGGAGCAACAAAACGGAGGAGAGCGGTGAGGAGAAACAGCCTAGAGAAACAGTTCACTTCCTGCTTGGAGGTCATGCAAATCTGGGATATTTTCCTCCATAAGAGCTGCTGCCAAAACATTGTTAATTGGGGGGATTGTTTTACTGACACAATACCAATGAACAGCCTGCAGTTAGATGATCTTAGCTAAAAAAAGACTTGGCTTGGGATTTTGACTGTTATTAAAAATGTTCACCCAGTCCTCCTCGGCTATAGCACTCGTTCTACGCTCACAAAATCTCACACCCGGGAGATGAACTCAAAAGGAGTTTTCATTAAAAATTCTCCAGCTCTGCGACGAAGACGAGGGAGAGGAAAAACACACATGGGCTCCAGGTGTGAGGTAATAAACCCGATTCCAATTAACGAGAGCGTCTGTCTGCTTAACACCTGTAAATTACCATCGGTGTACAGTTTCCTAATCTGCTGCTCTCATCCGTCATACAGGCAACAGCTAATTTAACTCCTCTTTGCTTAATATTTTTTTTGACACTTCTCATGCTGAAAATGTTATATTTGCCAGAGAAGAGTGGGATAATTGGCTTGCACAACTTGCAAGAAGTTCAGCCAGAGCTGCAGTATGTAAGGGGTTTTACCTCCGGAGCAATGCTATTTAATGATGTTACTTTACCAAACTGATACTGGTATTAAGTTATCAAGTTGATTTCAAGTTGATTTATCAAAATCCCACACATCCCTTTGGAATGAAAGTCCTCCAAACAGCTTCAGAGGCAAACACCCAAGAATTCCAGGCAACTCTGTTCTTTGTCCAGACAGTGTGGCCAAATATGGGTATTGTGGGTTTTCGGTGTGAGCAGCCAAGTGTCTCTGGGAGTTAATATAAACATCAGGCTGCCCTGTTCAGACGAGGAGGCCGAGACTGTGGGTGTGCACTCCTTTTAATTAGAGAGGACCCTCCACTGGCTTTCCCACTTCACTGAGAAATAAGTCAGAAGGGACTGGAGCTTCATCACACAGAAGCATACAGACAGAGGGGTCAAGTCAGGTCTATTTGTGCGGGCAAGTATCACGTACAGCGTCTCATGGAGCTTTACAGGTCCACTGCAACAACACCCTCCAGCAAGTACAAAAATCTAATGGAGGGCCCACACCTCCTTAAATCGCTAGGGGGGCAATAGGTGGGAAAAAGAAAATAACAAAAAATGGAGAACGTTGTTATGATAGAAATATAGAGTCTTAAGCATCAGATTATAATACATCCTATTTAGATAGAACCTAAACAGACCTCTGCCAAGGCCAAATGCCCTAAAGTATCTGGCAATGTGCACAAAAGTGAAAGATAAATCCTGTAATCCTGCTCATGGTACATCCTTCCACAGAGTTTTAATGAAAATCAGTCAGGTCGTTTTTTCTGTAATCCTGCTGACAAACAGATAAACAAAACCGAAACCGAAAACACGACCTCCATGTTGGAGGGAACGAGAGCGATTCAATTCAAGCTAAAAATAAAATAAATACAAGTTACAGGAAGTAGGTCCATGAAAATGTCTTCACATCATTCAAAGGACAAAGGCGCTCAGGTATATGTGGGCGCATGGACGATGGAGGAGGCCCAGAGGTTTGAAGACAGTGCAAGTTTTATCATCAATATTAATCTTTCTCAGAATGAGATCTCAAGCACCAGCAGTTACTCTCTGCTGCTTTTGGGGTTTTTCATTCTACTTCATGATAATATTTGCGAATGTACTATAAACAGATATATTGAATCTACTGTGCAATGTAATGTATGTCAATCAAAAATGACTGACACCAGACTAAGAATCTGCAGTCACAGCTCTGTTAGGCTGTAGTTAGTGCTTTGAGCTGAATGCTAAAGCTAGCATGCTAACGTTTAACAGGTGTAAACATGCCGATTCTGACTCTATGTTTATTGCAACCTTTTTGTAATTGCCAACAACAGGTTGCATCTCATTGCAGAAATCCTTTTTACCATGTTCACCATCATAGTTTAGCATGTTAGCATGTTATTAGAACCACCACTAAACATGAAGTAAGGTTGAAGCTGATGAGATTACCGTTCATTTGCAGGTATTTGGTTGTAAACTAAACTATTGTAAACATTGAAACCGATGGTGGTGCCAAAAAGGATGTTAAGTTAAACTATGAAAAAAAAAAAAACATTACAATTCATCTTCACAAATAAACACCACTTTCATTTTTAGTCTAAATATAATCGGTAGACGTAAGAAACTATAAATATATAATATAAATGTACTACACCACGGTCACATGACTCCACATCACCACCACTAAGATAAAGGCAGACTAGATTCTGGTGTGATGACGTTTAGTGGTCTCATTTAGCCACTTGTTAGCAACCGCCTTTTTTTAGACACTTAAAAGCATCAAAATTCACAAGAGGGGTACATTTTGACGTATTTTGTATTGTACAACAAAACGTTAAAATTTCCAAATGCCACCTTACTGACTTTGAGAGGAGGGAATCAAAAGTGCAAAAATGCCGACTCATTTCTGGGTATTTATGACTCACCCCTGCATCCCCCCCCCCACCTTTCTTCAAGGGGCCAATCGCTGTGAAGCAAAGTTGCCCCTTCTGACAAAGTCAAATCCCTCAGCCGGCCCATTAACGTGGCACTCCAGGAGAAACCTTATCTGTCCAGCTCGGGGAGTTCATTTACCTCTGGCAAGCGCACATTTTATCTCACACATTGATTTTGTAGAGCTGCCAAAACACTGTCCAATATGCTTTTCCCCCCCGACAGAGATGCAGAGACAGAGACAAGACAGTGAGACCGGACACGGCGAGTGTGTGTGTGTGCAAAAACATTTAAAGCATACTGTATGTTGTCTTTCTCCAACCTCTGCACTGATTCAACAAACATATTTGGTTAATACCGGACATGTTTCATGTTTACCAAAAAAGTCCACCCGTAGAACCTGTTTACCGTAAATTATCAGTGTATTCTATCAATCATTTCTGGAATGAACTGCTGCCGTTTTACTTTTTAGGAGCGACTACTTTCCCTTTAATCTGCCGTCACCCTTCCTGCTCAGATCTGCATGAACTTGTTGCATTCATTTGTAGGTCACACACTCAAAGTGGTAGCAAGTAACATTCAGAAATACACGTTTACTGTAGAACTAAACCTATTGTGAGCTACATAAAACATTCTCATTTTTTCGTGCTAGATCAACATTTCATATGTGCAGTAATGTGGTCTATCTTATATTACTTTTTGTTAGTTTTACGATTTAAGTATTTATGATATCTTTACCGTTTGATGACTTATTTATTATAGTTGCTTTTTCTTTTTTGTTGTTGCACTTTGCGGGACAAATAAAGGATAATCTTATCTCATATTTTATCTTCTTTGTTATTCTACTCCACTACATTCAGAGGAAATATTTGCATTTTATTCCATTTTTTTCTGACAGCTTTTAGTTACTTTGCACAGGAAACAAAATGAAAAAGTACTTGGTGCTTGATGTAAAGTACATCCCCAACTATACAAACTAGTACTGTGACTGTGCTATCTCTGTTTTATTATGAGCAGAGGATTTGGGTATCGAGGTCAGTTATTCATATATTTGAACCCCCCCCCCTCTATATATACACATTCAGTCAGTCATTTATTTTATGTTTTGCTTAGCTGACGAGCACGGGCCTGATCTGAGGGCTTTCCAATTACCAGGATTGTGACATGAACAGTGCTGGGCGAGCACAACTGCTTACTAATTAGCTAACAGGAACTTAGCAGAAACCGGAGTGACGCGCCAGCGATTCGCACCAGCGATTAGTAGCACTGCTGCTTGAAGTCCTCTCGCTGCCCAATTAAAACAGGCGGACAGGTTGTGGAAACTTCTGTGACCCGTTTGGCTCAGATGAGTTCCAACATGAACGAGACGTTGGTGCAGCCGTACACACCGACACTTCTCCGTGTAGAGCCTGAATCAGTATTCTAGTGTTCGGGAGTGTTGAGGACAGTTTGTTTGTCCACTTAAAGCCGTTTGTAGCAGCTGTTTAAAACTTTTTAAGTGAGAGCTGTGGACTGACTTTTACATTATTAGGAGATACGGGTTAGGGTTAGGGTTAGGGCGAATGAAGAGTCAGAACTGAGAAAAGTCGTGATGAATTGAGGTAAATGGGGATCGCGATCAACAACAGAAAAATGACATCAAAACATCCCGAAGCAAGCTCTCACACGACACAGTATAATACTCTGGTTTACCTCAAGAGGTCAAGGTATCGCTGGGTGAGTAAATGATATACAAATGGTCATTTTGTTGGTGAAGTTTTCCTTCAAGAGTTCTCCATAAAAAAGTCAAAGTCTTCCAGCTTAGCTTCTGATTAACCAGCATTTCGTTCTCATGGGGTTTTCTGTCCATTTTGTCCTTCATGTACATGTTAGTATTCAGCAAACAAGCAAAGTTAATACACATAGAGCTTTAAGAGGGAATTAAAGTGACCGAGAAGACATATGTATAAAGTTGCAGAAAATAAAGTTTTAAAGTCTATGATTGGAAACTTAATGCATTCATATACATTACTTGGCTTAAATGTACCAACACTTCAGCCTTCAACATAGTTGATATCTTGCACATGTGGTCATGAATATAGTTTGTGTCCATAATGTGCAGTGTGGAAAACCAAAAGAGAGTTTGCATCCATCAATCACCCCTGAGATTACACTCACTGTATCTTCTTTGTGAAATTCTTTGTGACTATGCCTCCTTCTTCCTGCTTCTCTTCATGTTTTCCTGTTTGAAAAAAAACAAAATAAGTGAGAGAGTGCAGAGTAACGTTAAATACCCTCAGATATGTATTTTAGTTTAGCAAGGTCATGTATCATAAATGAGTGTCCAGTTCGGTTTGATCACATTGTTTAAAAAGCTGGTGATGACACTGGCATGAAAACATGTTTTGTTTGGCCCACACAGTTTTCCATTGCTCAACCAGTGGCAGTGTTTTTTATACTTTGGGGCCACTGGGTGGGTTGAAATGAACATGAAATGATGGAACACCTCCTGCTTGCTCGGTTTACGGCCGTTGTATCTCTCAGGCTTGGTATAGCAGCTGCTCTGGGGCTGCTAAATATCACGGCCCGCTCCACCCCTCGACCCCCGTCTGCACGCCGCTGTGTGCTACCCAATACCCCCAGAGTGACGACTCCGCCTGCCCAAAGTGCTGGACTCCACCGGAGATCGAGGGTGGAATCAAAACTCCAGAGAGGGCTGTGCTAAGATCACCGGTGAAGTCATGACATTATTATTTAAAACCTCACCAAGACTTAAAACTGGTCCCTGGTCCCATGAATAATGGAGGTTTGGTCAGAGAGTCATCCAACGAGGCGCTGCCGCCGCTTATTTTTAAGATTCTTACGACAGACATGCCAAATTCCAAACGCTCTATGTAACGCTCATAACACTGAATGTTCTGGGAGGAGAGATGGAGGACGAGACGGTAACACTTTATAATAACCATCATTAATAAATAATCATTTGGTAGTTGATTACACTTTAGTTAATTGTTATTTTACTTTTACATAACAATTATATAATAATGAATCATGTTTACTAAATGTATTTTATATTTATTATAAAGGTGTTTTAAAATGTATTTTTGTAATACAAAATATTATATATTGTATTATAGCTGGTAACAATTACATTACAGTCATTTAGCAGACGCTTTTATCCAAAGCGACTTACAATTCAGATTCTATCACATTCAAGGACACATCGACATGCAGACTAGCGGAGCCGGGGATCGAACCACCGATCCTCTGATTGAAGGACGGCCCTTCTCTCCACTTAGCCACAGTCGCCTCAAACAGTGGATCTAAACTCGCTGATGGCACCGCTCAGGTGAACTGTAAGCGATGACGAGTTCATTGAGTTCTTCTGGAGGATTCTGTGTTTAACATTTGTTCCTTCATGTACTGAACACCTCCAGCATGCTTTGTATCACTCTTCCTGTGTGTCACACTTTTAGATCGGGGGGGGGGGGTCGAGTCACTAACAGGCCCAACATGGCGCTGATTGAATGACCCAACTGGCATACCAACAATGTGTTTATAAAAAACTCAGAGTCGGGGGCCCTGCTGTCCTTTGAGCCCTCCTCGGCTCCGGGTATCCCTGGAATTCATCCGTCTCTCTATGAAGCACTGACACGACGACGTCATTTCTGTAACTTACTCCCATAACCAGTGACTGGGCAAGAACGTGACACCAGCAGGAAACAGAAAAACTGTTTTCAAGAACATTCTCTCCGGCGTCTAGCGGCGGCTCGTCTTATTGTAAACAGAGACTGTTGTCACGGGCCTTGCCTTCAATCTAAATCGAGCTCGTGGGTGACTGAGGGAGTGATTCTCCAGGAATCTGAAACAGGTGTCCAAGCTTGAGGATCCGCCTGCCAACATGAAAGTCCCAGGCCCCAAAATCTGTTTAGCTCTCCCATATCAAGAGTAATTAATGCTGAGACCATGTTGTACCGCCGAGGCTTTCATTGTGCTGCTTTCAAACCCGCTGCCAAAGAGAAAGAGCTGGTGTTTCTCAGTCAGCTCGGAGTGAAGAGCCTGAGAGAGAAGATTCTGCCTTTTCATTTGGCCGGACTGCTGCTTTTTCCGTGTATTTTCCGTGTACATGTTGTTCTGTGCAACTTTTATGTCTCAGGTGATGGTTGTTCAAGATATTTTCTCTAAATGTGACCAGCTAGTGAAAAGTTAAAGTAGTAAAAATGAAACAATATATTGAAGGGATGAGAAGTTTTAGAGATACTGAGGTCAAGAATCCAAAATCTCTCAATGAAATTATTATTACTATTTAATATGATTGTATTATAAATATACTGCAGATGTTCAATTATATTGTATGTTAACATACAATAATTACAAGAATTAACTTCCTTAATTCAGATCTATATGCTGTTTTGACACAGCCAGAGACACAACAATAATATTACTTCATTTAATTCTAGTTTGTCCAAAAAGAAACATTCATAGATATTGAGTCTTAAGAAAATGCAGAATACACCTTTAAATCATATTATGTAATATTATTTAATATTAGCAATACTGAGGGCATGACCTCAATGTCCTCAATGGAAGTTACAACACTGCACGTTTTAGGAGTTTTTCACAAGCAGATGATACTATTTGCCCAATTTATTTAGTTTATATTCTATTCAAGGTGTTTTATGTGCAATATGCGTTAAATTGACTGTTATTTTCATTCCGATTATGTTTTTGGATGATTAAATCCCCATTTTAAAGGCGTTTGTTGTTTTTTAATGTGCTCTATGAATAAAACTGAGTCAGTGTTCACTCTGACCTCCAGTCATTGATACCAAAAGTAAGACCCTTATCCTCAATACACTTTGACTATAAAGTTATTTATCCTGCAGAAGAAAAAAAACCCTGTTCCAGTTCAGTTTAGGGCTCTGCGACATCATCCCAACTCACCTGACACGTCTACAAATCCGTCCCTCGTTTTGATGGTTAACTCCTCTGGTTTGAAGCTGTGGACGTTCACGCAAACCTTCCAGGGCTCCCCCCCGGTGCTGCTGCTGGTGGTGGTCGGGGAGCCCCGGGAGGACGGCTCGCCGTACCTGCTCGTGTACACTGCGGGGCCTCCCGCGGACTGCCGCGAGGGGAAACCTGTGCGTAAACCGCTGCCGAAGGGCGACGTGCTGAGGCGCGTGCCGAGCCGACCAGGCCGAGCCCAGCCCGGCCAGTCCATTGACAAATCTTCGGGGAAAGATGGCATCCCAAAGTCATCCTCCATAAACCGAGACCCGAGCTGATCCCTGAACGGGGACTCTCCAAACGGATCCCGGGGAAACCTCTGCCGGCTTCCCATCGTGTAGAAGTCTCCCTCTGCCATGTCCAGATGAGTTCCAGACCAGTTCAAGTTCTGCTGTTTGGACCAAACTACCCCGAACCAAAACTTTTCTTTAACAATTAAAATACAGAACTACAGTAATCTATGTGTGGTAAAACTTTATCTTTCTGGGATGTTGCGCGGTCACCAGCTTATCCAACTACGCACCGTGAAAGCGTGCACTGCTTTTCCTAAAAAAATGAACCTCTCTTGGCTGCGGGTTTTATACTGGACGGGGATTTCACAAGACGACGGTTCCGGAAAGTGCTGGGAGGATCTGGAAAGCACGCGCACTGCAAAAAACATCTTTGTAAGAAGTCGAACAGAGCTTTAAAATCCTTAGAAATAAAGAGCACATGACACAATAAAACCTTGTTCTCCTCCAAATAATATGTGCCAGCCGTTTATAAGCGTCAGAAAAACAGATTAGGAGTTAAATTAAGATGAAATTACTTGCTGATGTGGATATTTTTTGCAGCGCAGGCGCAACAGCTGACCAAAGACCAGCCTCCCCCTTTTTGTTCACCAGATGAAGTTAGTGTCCACATGTCACTCACTCAGAGCTGGAGCTCCTCTCGGTGACTCACCGGCTTTTTAATAGCAGAATAACGCAGAGCTTCGGGTCAAACACACTGATGTCACAGTACGGATAAAACAGGAGGGGGGGGGGGGGGGGGTTTTTCAAGAAGGGCGTCTTCAGAACGTAAAACAAGACGTTTTTTAATTCAGGACATGATTTCAGAGAGCTTATTCTACACACGCAGTGAAAGGAGGAGGCGACACCATGTTATTACAATGTGGAGTTCCCACTGACACGAGATAAAAGTGACAGCATGTAAAACAAAACGCTCCTTCATGTGCATGACTTAACACTGAAACACTGGGTCACTATACATGACTTTGTTATTGGGATTTTTTTCTTTTTTTATGATAACAAAAGACATGATCGGAGGGATATCTGTAGCACAAAGACATCTAGAGTCCATTGACGGGCATTTTGTCTTCTCTTCCTCCGTCCACTAGTCAATGCATCATATCCACAGCAACATTTCTAACATCCAACAAGACCCAAATCACATTTTGCAAGTTTAAATAATCACCTTTTTGTACAATCTATACAATGCAGATGCGTATTTACACCACAGTAATTACATATTCAAAAACTACTTTGCACAAGAACTGATGCAAACTTCACATTGTGAGACAGGGGAGGGGGGAACGGGGCCGCTGTGGCCCGGGAGCCCGTCTAGAAAAGTTTATCGACTCGACTGCACAAATCTTCCACCGCCGCTTTAGAGTTTGTGGATGACTTTTTGTGCCGAGTCCCTTCCTCTTCCTGCGTCACATTCCCCTCATCCGTCCAATTTCGTTGACATTCAGGGAAATAAGCTGAGAGTATTGAGTGCATAGAGAGCAGTCTGTCGGGCCCGCAGCAGTTACACAGACAGGATGATGGATTTGAAGTGATTGAGAAATACAACTTCTAATTATGCGGAGAGGCAGTTTCAAACTTCAAACTCTGGAGGCAAAGCCGCCTTGAAGTTAACTTTTTTTTAGAATCATTTTGACACTTTGAGAAAATGCGTTCGAGAGAAGATGGAGAACACTCCCGTGTGTGTGTGTGTGCGGTAAATATGAAGTTTTGATTAGTTGCTGGTTAGCTTAGCTTAGCATACGGACAAGAAACAGCTAATCCTAAACTCACTAAATAACATTTCATATCTCGTTAGTTTAATCTGTACATGAAAAAGCTCGAGGTTTCAAGATGTCTTTGTGACTAGCCGAGAAACAGTCCAGCAAATAAACCTCCCGTACACTTTCACACTTCATAAAGTTACTACACAGAACTTTCATTTTGTGTTGATCTTGGCGGTCCCTGTGGACAACATCTGTAGTGTTTCCGAGCACCAGACTCCCTTTAGAAAACCTCTCATTTTACTGCAGCAGGGGTCTGACAGTCTGCTACGCGAGGTCTTGGTTCTGGTTCTCCCGTGACCCCTTTCCCTCCAGCGGGCCCAGCAATACGGCCTGGGCCTCCAGCAGCGTGGTGTCAGTGTTGGCTCCCAGGGGAGACCGGAGGAGCAGAGAGGCGAAGCTCTGCTGCTGGCTGGAGGAGGAGAAGCTTCTGTGGGACACTAAGCTCTCCTCCTCCCGCTGGAGCTTCTGACTGCAGGTCGAAGGCAGCAGCGAAGCCGGATCTGGGTCTGACTGCGGTGAGCTGGTCTCTGCTGGAGGCCCCCCGCAGGAATAATTATATAGAAATAGTTGAATAAATCTTCTCGCTGATGCTCTCGTTTACTGATGAAGGTCATATAGAAGCATCAGTAATACATTGAGACTGTTTCATAACCATTTAAAAGTTCCTCACAGTTTTGTGCGGATTAAACACATACGATATTTTCTAATTAGTGAGCTTTAGAGGTGCTGGCAGATTAACCTTTTAACAAAGCCAAGCAAGCTTGTTTCCAGTCTTTATGCTAAGCTAACCTAGCTGCTGTCTGTAGCTTCCTATTTAACAGACATATATCAGAGTGGCATCAATCGTCTCATCTGACTCTCTTGGCAAGACAGCGAATTAACATATTCAAATGTCAAACCTTTGCTTTAAAAAACAAGCACCCAAAAACAAAAGGTCAGACCTTTTTGCATTTGAACATCTGCCTCTACTTTGAGGTTTACGTGTGAGTAATGTGGCAAAACCCCAAGAACATCTGACAACAAACCAAACACAAAATACAGCAGTGTCATAATAACTTTAAATTGACAGCGTTGCATAGAAAGATTGACCACCACTGAGAGGGACAACAAACCAATAAATATTAAATAAACAATAAATATGGATGGTGCTGCACAATTAAAAAAACGTTTCAAAGTATCCTTTTTGTTCCCCGAAACAGATTCATTACGAGTTGTCAAGCAAAATACCTCCTCTGACACCGGGAAGATTTTCGATCGCTCTCTGTTGTATTACATGGACTGACATTTCAATTGTTTCCCACTTGATCAGAAGATAAATTAACTTGACATTTGTGCTGACAGCCGGTTTGCTCGCCGTCAGGCCGCCCTCGCCGTTTCATTTTTCAGAGGGAACAGGTTTGTTCTGCACCTCGTGAAGCGCAGAGATCAGAGCAATAAACCTTTTCTTTATTCCTGACAACGATCCCTCCGAAGCCATTTGTAAACACTCGGATCCAACGGCTCGAATGTTACCTCGATGCTTACTCGGCGCAAAGTCCACAACAAACAGACCTGACATGCAGTCAACGTCTGATGTCTTGTGAAACTGGTGCATCTGCTCTTGCTTTAGCCGACACATACTGTCTATTGCCCTCACAAATTATGTCATTTCAACCTTGGTACCTTCAGGCCTTACTATGCATTATTTCAATGAACTATCAATTTTAAAATAAATATCAAGCATTAATTTAAGAGAATAACTTAATGGGAAGTGAATGGACTTAAAGTAAGCAGCAGCGATATGAGCTGACCAAACACAGGAACACTGTTTCTGTTTCATGTGCAGTTTCTATTGCAAATATCTAAGAGATGAACAGTCTCAGGCCATTTTGAGTGCTGATGCAAGAGGATGCAGTACAAGAACAAAACAAACAAATAGAAAGACACTCAGTCTCCAGTGGTCTCTGTGGGCAGAGACAACAAGACTCGCCTCAATGAAAGACGTGGTCGAATCCCTGCGGGGGACATTTCCACTCAAAAGCGGAGCACGGAGACGCACACAGTCCGGCTGCTCCGACATCCACCGCTGAAACACGGCCGCGAGACCTCCGTCCCTTAACGCGCTCCTGGAAACCCTAATGCCTGGTTTTGTGGCGTTTGTGCAGCGGACCGCGACTCCGGCTGCGACTGCGGGTCCCAAAGATGGAGTTCCAGGATGAGCTGCGGCTGTAGCTCCGGTAAGAGGAGTAACTGTGGCTTCGGCTTCGGCTGCGGCTGATGCCGTGGAGCGGGCTGCGGCTGCGGGTGAAGAGGCTGCTCCAGGACGACACGCTGGTGGAGCGGCTGCTGGAGGAAGGGCTCGGTCGGAAGTAAGGGATGGGTCGCTTCCTGGCACTGTGGAGAGCGACAACGGTAAGTGGTGTGAAAGTGACAGACAGTAAGGACATTAAAGCTGCAGCGTGAATTTGACTAAACCTTTAAGCCGCATCTAATAAAGTCACTGCACAGCACCAAACAGGCAGACAGACAAAGTTAGCGACTAGCTGTCGAACATCGTGGAGCATTTAGCAGCAAAAGAGAGAGATTTCCATCAAACAGAAATTACAGGAGACGTATGTGGACTTTGAAAGGTGGCAAATATGGTAGTTTTACGTAACGAATGTAGTTATTTTAACTCAAACCACAATCTTTTCCTAAACCTGAGCAAGTACTTCTGTTGCCGAAACCTAAACAAGTAGTTTTGTTGCGCAAGTAACCCTAAAAATTAAGTAAACCTATGTTTGGGGGATATTTAGAAAAGACAATATGCATGTAATGAGCTAAAACTAATCAACACGCCGTCCTTGACACGTTCAAAAGTGACACTAGAGTGTTACCGAGAGCGCCATCGTTTGAAGCGTAGGGCCACTGGCCAAGCGTCACACTGAAACGCTCTGCAGAGCCGAGGGGAACTGCAGAGTCGGGTGACAATTCTTTGGTGGGTTTGACCCATAAGTAATATACAAATATTGATCGGTGCAGCTTTGAAATAATATAGATTAATGGAGCAATAACTACATAAAATCTGATGTTTTTAGCCTCTTAGTGTAGTGTTTTATTGTGCATATCAGTTGCTGCTGTCAAAGAGCAGTATGAAACAAAAGAAAAGTGAAGCTAACTGTGTGGCAGACAAGATCTGTTAAAAAAAGTGAACATCACACTTTTTCTTTCATATTTCGGATCGCCTGTGTTCCACCATCTGTTCCTTTAGCACCTGTGGTGGCTTCAGAGCTGACGGTTATCTCATCCTTTTGACTAAATGCCATTTCAAGGTACGCAGCTCATCAACACGATGAGAGCGATTTCAGGTTGGGGACTTGTCCCACTGAGGGGGCTGAGGGTGGGACCAGCAGCACATATTTGCTTCCTTTTGGCATAATAATGTGTATTGTAGCAGTAAAAAACCCGGGTGGGAAAAAGCTGTACCTTGTGATTCGCCGTGCTTCCAGATGGCTTGGTGAGTCTCTCCTCCGTTTCTTCATAGGCGAGTAGGATTTTCGTCTTTGTCTCTTCCCACTAACCTTATGTGCATGCTTCACATCTGTCCCTCTGGAGCTATGTGTTCTCTTTCTGTCTCGTAGTCTGGCAAGCGGACAAAACAAAGAGAACATTTCACAATGTAAATGTGTATTTGCTCCCGTACACTCGTAATGAGGAGTGGTCACGCAGGTGAAAACGTTTGGTTAAGTTCACCTGTCAGCGCTGTGTCTGGAGTAGCTTCCTCTGGAGCTCAGGCTGGCCACGCTGCCTCGTCGTCTCGGATCAGCTGAATAACTCGGTGAGCGTGAGTATGAGCTGGCAACGAGAAAAACGACAATCATCCCCGCAATCGAGCAAAGCACCAGTAGTTACAATTCCATACACATTTCTATGCACGTTCCTGAAATTTCTGCAAAATGAAACATGAAACAGTGCATCTTTCCATCAACTTCCTTTTGCAAACATATCATGATGGCATTTGTGTTTTGGTTAATGAATGACTTTGTCTCTTATCTCGACTGGAAATGGGGACTTTCCGATTACACCCGGACACGCCTGCTGTTTTTATTCTATACTTTTTGTCTTTCTAATGTATTTAGTGGCAGCACATGCGTGTTCTTTACTGCGATGCACGAACACATGTAGCAGGTACCTCCATGTAAAGCTGTTCAATCAAGATCTACGAGACTACACACATGCTCTGTGAGGCTGTACTTAGCTGTATGTAGCTAAATGCTAACATAGCAACATGCTCACATGTGACAATGCTAACAAGCTGATGTTCTGCAGATGTATGGTTCACCTTGTTAGCTTGTATATTAGTGATATAATAGAAGTAGTTAACCCACCTGCAGGACGACAGGCTTCGAGAGTAGCGGCTAGAGTATCTGGAGCTCCCCGGGGATCTGCTCCTGCTCCTGCTGCTGGATGACCGCGTTTTCAGTCGCCTTCCAGACGACTTTCTCATCCTCTGGGAACAGCTGGAAGTCTTTGGAGATCTCACAACCTCCACACGACACCCCAAGGTTATCTGCCCACTGCAACGAAAACACGTTTCACTGCTTTTAAGAAATGCTCTCCCTTGTTCTCACTTATAAGATTCATATTTCAAAAGATGGAACAGAGCGTGGAAACAGAAGATAAACAGCTTGCAATTCCTGGGAAGCATTCATTCAGATGGATTATTTGTTATGAACACAACATTACCTCTTGCCGTTTCCACTGAAAAGGGTTGCAGACAAGCCGTCCTCCACGTAAGGTTTGCACATGGAAGCGTAGCTGGTCACAGAGTTTCCTGAATCAGAGGCATTGCCTCTGTCAGTGAACTTCAGCTTCTCTGGCGAGGCCAGGCGTTTACAGAGGTTCCTCTTGTTGTCAGTGACACTCGCCTGAAAAACACCAGTTTTGCTTGACGGCGGCGAAGATGTGTCATTCCCCGAATCGTAATCGTGCGGAACTTCGGCCTGGCCGGATAAATGCTGAGACCCTTTTCCGTGTAAAATCTCTCTTCCAGGTTCTGACGATATAATCTGCAAACAGACAAATAGGCTGCAGCTTAAAACCAAACGTGTGTCGATAAATGAACCCTGCTATCTGCTTTGATGCACTGTGAATACTCTAGTACAATAGGCACATATTCCCTTGAAAACACAGAGAAGGATTTTTTTTTGTGCTTTTTTTTCTCGAGACAGAAAACTTTGAAAGATAAAGACATCATGCAAATTTGAAAGCATGCCATTAACCCCCCCCCCCCCCCCCCCAAAACAAAAGTCTGAACTCAACTTAAGTCAAAGAAATCAAGAGGAAACAAATTGAGATAAAGTCGGTCTAAACTAAAACAATTATATGAAAGGAAGAACAAAAGAGCAGAGAAGAAAGAAAAACTATGCGTGGAAAGATCTACCGGCTCTAACTCGAGTGAAGAGAAAAAGAGTAAACAATAGCCCCATTGAAAAGCCTCATTTAAAGAACATCGAACAAACATCACAAAATGGGTATTATGTAGAAATGAAAAGGATTGCAGACAAAGAGAGATCCCATCAGTCTAACTAAGAAAGCCCTCAGAATGGGACAGATGACTGTGCTCTTTCTCCTGTAAGAAGTAAATCATTTGCCTGCACCGACCTACAAGTATAAGCCCTAAATCTGCGGATAGCATCGACTTACCAATCAAGATTTCCTCCTTAAGTAGGTAAGGTGTAAGAAAAAGGGAAGAGCGGGCAACATAAGTGCATCATTAGAGTTGTAAATTGCAAGAAAAAGACAGTAACCCTCTCTTCAAACCCAGAGCCAGTTTGATTTATATTGGCATGTTCCTTTTTCTTTCCTTAATGGTGCATTGTTCTGGAGTTATTCAGGAGCAAAAACGTCCCGGAATACTTTAAAAGTGTGCTTGTATGCGAGTACAACTACTGCACACTGAAACCAGGAAGTTGTTCTACTGCAGACGTCCACAGATACTGACTCTACTTAATAGTTCAATGATCTTGTAAAATTATGATCTCTCTTTATTTCTTGACTACGAGAGGTTTATCCAGTCTGTCCTCCTCAAGGTTTCCCATCATCTAGTCTGAAGACCGACCCTGAGGGAAATGTAGTCTTTGTTCGTCTTCTACCACTCGCATCGCACCCAAAAGTAAAAGATTTCACTTACAGAAAAAAAACCAATTTTAATCAGGGACATTCTTCAATGTCACCCGGAGATGTTTTGACAAGGCTGCCTTCAGATAAACATTTCAAATGGTTCTCGTGAGTTTCTGTTGCCACAACGTTTCTTACGCTTCCACCACAAAAGAAATTCACCAATTCATCACTTATACAAGAAAGGTTGACATGTTTAATAATCAACCACATTCATGTCAATTATTCATATTTTTGAAGGTTTTTTCTTTACGGTTATACCTACCTTTCCCTTTATGGATTGCTTTTTTTGGGAAAGAAATATTAAGCAAAGATCATTCTGCATCACCAAACCAAAACCCATAAATAAATGCAAACACCACTGAATAATTGTGATCCAGTAAGCTACCACTCAGCAACTAACTGTGAAGTCCTCCTGAATGCCAGGCATGACTCAATATATGGATTAATTTATTGAATTTCAATTAAAACCCTGTGGTGTGTGATTAAAAACATTTCTCCGTGCGATTAGCATAATTTAACGATTGCTGGAGAGAAATTAAATATATCGCATGCTCCAGTAAGCATGAGACAATGAGTTTAAGGACATTGCTGTATTTATGAGGCTCTTTGGGAGAACATCACTTTAAAAAAAAGAAAAAGAAAAGCAGAATCAACCTGCAATAAACAGCTAGAAGCCATCAATTACAGTTTAAAGATGTTTGTTTTCTGTTGGTTTCATTTCAGCTGCGGTGTCACATCTACAATCTGAACAACTGAAACCGTCAGCTGGAAGTTTAACATAAAACTATGACTAGAGGGGAGAAGGGCGGAAGTGAAAAGGACATTTATTTATTTTTTCCCACTTCTGGCTCCTGAAAGACAGTAATAAAGAAATATTTCAATATAAAAAACATATTCTAAGAGTCTCTGAGTCTTTTTCATTCAGTCTAAGAAAGTTAATCAATTTTTGTTTTTGCATTTACAAAGATTTTCTGAGCTGCTTTACTGTTATGGTTTTTTTTTGGGGGTCTAAGGTGGCAAAAAAATGTTTATAAATCATAAAAAGGCATTCTAAGGAATCATTGTTTATCCCTAACAGCTATTAAATGAGGACGGTACAGGAAGCAGCGGGACACGGCCTCAGACAGCGAACAAGTGCATCACTTCCTCTGTGGCGCTATGTTCTGCAATGGTGAACTATGCAGTATGCCACAGATCTAACCACACACAGATCTAACCACACAGATCTAACCACACACAGATCTAACCACACACAGATCTAACCACACACAGATCTTACACTAAACTAGAGGCTTTATTGCATCCTGTAGCAGTCAACTACAAATCTACATTTACATGGAAATATGTTTAAGGTAAACAAATAAAGCTGTTACTAAGTGTTTTATTTTCCTAATCTTGACCACGGTTGCAATGAACAGTAAGGAAAAATATTGGCATTGAATATTCATTAACAACATCACGGAACAAACACACCTTTAATAAAGGAATATAAATATCTAGTGAGAAATAGCTCTTGAAAATAAAATATTTATTGTTCATCTTCATTTAAATGTGTCACTTTGTTTCTCAACAGGAGGGAAAATTAGCTTTTAAAACACTATATTCACATTGCTATAATATAGTGAATGTTTCATTATGGTCGTTATGGTAATGCGGAGTCTTCTACGGTGTTGGTTTTAAAAACAGAAAATCAAGAATCAACAAAATAACTGGAAAATAAAGAATGCATAAAAGGAGCTCAGAGTCAGGCCATGAATAGTTTTTGGGTTTTGTAAATATCTATTCTTCAGAGAACAGCTGAATGAGTTAAGACAATTCATTTTCAAAGAAAATACTGTCTTTGGATTGAAACAAATACCAGGATGTGTAATTGTAATTTGACTGATGAGCTGAAAAAAAAGAAGTTCCAGACCCAGCCGCCTCACTGTGAGCATTTTATATTGCCTGACGACAACCTGTTCTACATGACCATAACTGGGAAATCAAACTGAACCAGCAGCAGCAACGTTAAGAGTCGTAAAGTGTACTTACGGTAGCGGTTGAGAGGACGGAGCGATATTTTGGAGCCGTTTTACACACTGATTTGGTTGCAGGTCTCCATTTCATGTCCCTGTGTTCAAGCACTCCGTTGGATTCTTCTACTACAGCTGCCAGGCCTCCGAATGCCTGATGCCTCACAGATTTATGCAGATGGTGTCTGTAGGAAAAATGGATGTTTTCGTGACATAAATGCCTCTTACTTCTTACTGCACCTCAGTGAGTGGGACAAAAAGTAGCACACATGCACATTTTATGACAGTGAAATATCCGGATTTACCTCTGTGACATTTTTTTCATTTTGTTTTGTTTTGACAACCTTTAAAATAAATTGTAACCTGTTGTGTTGACATAACTAAAATGTTTGGAGGATTAGCTGATTTTCAGCTGAATAAATGGGAAGTTTAAAGCTCAATATATCTCGATTTCAATTGCGAATTCCTCTGCTTAAAGTGACAGCAGGCATGTTATCATTATGAAGTAAATGTTGTTTGCACAATGTAATGTATAGAATAATGCAACCATCAGCATTTTATGGCTCTCTAAAACAATTCTGTCAGCCACCTGGTTGTAAAAAACTGGAAAATGAAGAATAATGTACCTCAATGCAACCTCCGTTGGCGTTAGCTGTTAGCTCCGTTATTTTGCCAAGCAGGACTGCGCTGCCCACCGGCTGCTAACAGCTAACGTTAACTAGCTCTCCTCCTGCCGATTTCAACCTCAGGTGTGAATAACTAGTTTGCACATGTGCAGTACTGATCAGGCCAGATGTACGAATCGGACAGCGAGTGACTCGTGTTGAGCTGATAAATGAAATTATAACATGATATCAGATCGTTGACTCGTAGACTCGCGTATACTCCCCGATACACAATCCAGTATTTTCGGCTGTATCGGAGGCATTCTTGATACTGGTATTGGTATTGGAACAACTCTACATGAGTCAGAGTTCACTAATTGAGCTCTTAAATGATTCTCACTCCAAATGCAACATTTTGCATTCAGGGGCGATCAATGATTATCTAAGGATGAATTAAGACCAGTCGAAGCTACTAGAGATCATCATGCTGTCAACCCCGTTCAGTATAATCCATAAAAAACTGTGAAAATCCTTCAACTTTCAAAAATGTTGCAATAGGTTGCAATAGGTTGTGATAATTGAGTGCATCGATCTGTGGAGTGAATATGGGGCCACTTCCTGTGAAGCTGTGATAAGGGCCGGTCGTGCCTGAGATCAGGAAGTCACCTCTGCCTTATCAGTCATCGCTGTGGTGTGACCAGGAACTCGGCAGACACCTCGAGCTGATAAGATAAACTGAGGGAGTAAAAAACAGGGGGGTGGGTGGGTGAGGAGGGGGAGGGACGGGATCCTACCTGTCCTCTGCAGGAGATTGGTAAGATGAACTGTCCGACTCTGACCTCCGATAGCGTCGCCTCCGCCGAGAGTGAGTCCGAGAACTGAAGGAGGAGATGAGGAGAGAGGACACGAGTGGATAAGCAGCTGAGAGCACTATGATGAATCAATTGACAGGAAGTATTATTTTTATAATTAGTTAATCAATTATGTAATTTACCAAGTACAAATCCCAGCTTCTCAAATGTAAAGTATTTGCTGCGTCTATCTTTTCGATACCCTTGCACATATTTTTAAGCTTCGGCTTCAGCCTACAGCTTTCTTGGTCATGGCTATAATGTTTCTCAGGGTTCCCACTCTTTTCTAGAGTATCTTTTCCAGGTGATTTTCACTGATGATCTAGCTGGTATGACAGACAGCCATACAATAACATGTTCCTCTCTTTGGAAGTGGGATTCATTGGTTTGACTCTCTCAACATTGCTCAACGCACATTTGAAACGTGAGCCAGCGTTGAATCACAAATCTTAAACCTTTGCTGGCAAAGCAAGCACTTTAACTTTAGCAACTGAACCAAACATGCTCCAGACCTCAGCAATTAACTTTCAGATCAGTTCAAACTGATCTGGGGTTGTGCTAACTGATGTTTTTTTCCCAGTTCGGAGAAACAATTGCCCACCAGAGCACGAGTGATTAAGTCTGGGGATGCTATCTTCCTACAAAGCTAGCTAGATATACCCAATTATAAACTAGAATTATCCTTCAACCAATTAATCTATGACTCCAGTAAGTGGATCTATGACTACTCATACTATGGATAGATTCATCAAAAAACATAAATGATCTTTAGTTGCAGCCCTGTAGAGCACACATGTTCATTTGTTGGCATTGCCAAGTGTTTGGATCATGTTTTCTCTGATATGTATATGACCCGTGTTTGAAAAATAGCCCGCCAGAGAGAGGGCGAGAGGCATGAAGACCACAAAAGAGCAGAGAGGAGCGAGTTCAAGTGAGCTGGAAAGCAGCGGTTTCTGTTGAAGTAAGCAACAACTGAACTCGGCTCTGTGCTTACAAGCAACGGGCCGCTCATCCAAAGTCGAATTATAACATGTTGCGTGATCACAGCATGAAATTGGTTTCTCTTAATTAACCTCCGTCACCCCCTTTTTTGTTTTTCCTCCCCTCTGTTTGTAGCTCAAGCTTTCAATCTGTTCTCCTCTTTCACGAGGGTTTTATTTCCGCGCTTTGCTCGGAAATATAAAAGCCTGCACGTTTCTGCATTCAGCCATCGTGCCCCCTACATGAGAGCACTTTGAAGGATGCTCTCTCTTTCTTCCTCAGCGACCGGTGTTCTGTAAAGGGTGGACGGGCTTACCATGGGGGGGAGGAAGAGGAGGTGTAGGCGTGGGGTCAAAAAAAAAAGAGTTGTGTAGGATTTAGAGAGAGTACATTGATTCTACAGCAACAAGCACGGACTGACCTTTTTTTGTGCTTGCGCTCATATTTCCTCTTGTGTTTGAAACTTGAAGAGCTAGTGGGATGAAAGAATAGAATGATGAGTGAGGCATTTTAAGACAGACAAAGGCTGCACACACAATGACTTCTTACTGACACATGAAGGGAATTGGCTTTGAGGTTGGATATCTTACAGAAAGCAGGCGCTAAATGTTCCCCTCATTTATGACAGACATGTACCCAGGTGTTAAAGTTAGCTCTTTTAATTAAATACTTTGACCTTTAGAAATTACACACGTGAAGACACAAGGCATGCTAAAATGATGCACAACATCTTCCAATCATCGTACTGCACACATACCTGTGTTTTGACTTTTTGGAGGTATACCTGGAATAGAAACAGAAAACATGATTTTAATCACCTAATAATACACGTCATGCCACTGTGCCAATATTGTCGTATTAAGCAAGAGCTACCTATGCCGCTTGCTTTTCTTGGAGCTTTTCTTCTTCTTCTTTTTCTTCTTCCGCAGTGGCGACAGGCTGTAGGAAGGAGACCTGAAGCCGGAGAACAAATAAACATGAACTCTAGAGAGTACCGAGCTTCCTCCTGTACACCTCTCTTGGCTTATTCATTTCAGGAAACAGGACAAAGGCGTCCGGCGATACACCTCGCTGCAGAGTCATCTCGTTTTCTGGGGACTGACCTTTTCCTTTTCCTCTTCCGTTCAGACTTTCTCTTCTTCTTCTTCTTCTTCCCCTTGGGCCGAGGGGAGAGTTCCTCATCAGAGGAGGGGCTGTGAGCAGAGACAGAGCAGAGGGGACACTTTAGTATTCATTCCAGGGACGGGATATATCTGCGCTTTTGGAATTAAATTTAGTGTGGGTGTCCCAAGTATTATCTAGCCATGGAGATTCTAGTTTTATTTGCCCAGTGTTGGGGTATCTGCGATTTCTGCCTCCACTCTAACAGCCCAGTATCCCTAAGAATTACGTCCATATTGGACAATTCTGCAGTCCATAATTTACGTCCAAAGCCAGCGATTGGTACCAAAGCAGTGTATTGGGTGACCTTTCATAGTGAAGCATTGAGTGAGGTTGTGGAAGTCAGGTTGGTGGATCAGAATGTAATCAACAATTTACAATTAAGTGTAAAGTCTTTTTATGAACAACAACCTTTCCCTGAGATTAACTACATTGCAGTTGCCATGTGCAGATTAGAAAGTGAGAATTTTATAAACATCGGCATTGGACGTAAAGAAAAAACATGTAAAAATGTTGTCATTAATGTTATCTGTGGTTGTAGAAAAACTCTTTTTGACAATGTTGACTTTCAATGGTGACGCTCAAAGAATTGAAAAATGCCTTCACTGGATCTACTGAAGAAAATAGATGACAGTGTGTTTTATCAATTTCAAATTTCATAATAATAATAAATTCCATTTTTTATCATGATTTAGGTGAGCCGCCCCTCTATCCTGAGATATAAATAGATTACATTCAACGTTATTGTCATTGCACAGAGAGAAAATACTGTGATAACGAAATGCAGTTCAGCATCTAACCAGAAAGGAATAAAGTCTATTGTGATGAACAAAAAATAAACAGAATGTATAATATAAAATAAGGGGTAGATATGGATATGCTGCGGTGTATACAGCATGATCAGTATGAGATGAACACGCTCAGAGGAGTCATCTGTCAGAAGAGGGATTCGAATCCACGCCTCCAGGGGACACTAGCGCCTAAGACTGCTTACAGTGACCACCTAAAGCAGTGCAAACAGCACCTAAAAGCTGCATTAACAGCGACATTGTTGTATCACTTTGTTTTGTGAGAAGTTCTTCACCTACTTGTATTTTGTGATATCAAAGTTTCAGTTTTCTCTGTTTTATGCCAACTCTCCCAATAAAAACAGAATGGATGGGGTAAAATAATCCACATGACTCATCGCTGGCATCACATAACTGATCGTAACTGCATCCCGATTCCCTCTCACAACACACACGAGCGAGATTATCTTTGAGCCAAATGTCCCATACGAGATGATCCCATCACAACAGGAGGAGGAAATCCCATCGAGACTGGTTTAAAGTACAAAACAGATCGCACGCCAGTGATCGTCACTGAAGTCGGGGCTGATGACAACATGGCCTCACGCCAGGGGGAGATAGATCTGTGACGCATCCCATAGATAACTTCAGTAATTTTGTCAGGGAATGAATCCTAAAACCCAGAAATGACTCAGAATTTTTGCTCTTCCGGTTCCCTCATCTCGAAGTCAATGAGTTTTTGGTAAGATGCCTGAAATAAGAGATTCTAACTTGTTCTAAGACATATAATCCGTCTGTAGATACCCCTCTTTTACATGTCTTAAAGAGGCGAGTGCTACCGAGTGGCTAAACTGAAACTACAAAACGTCACCCTGCCAACTAGTCCGACTCGTGTATACTAGCACTCGTGCGACCGTGGTGTGGTTATCGTCTGTACACTACAACACATATACTGTTAGTGTTCACTTTACGCAACGAACCTTAGACCTTTTTCATCTTTCAATTTACCGAAACCTTCTTAAATAATAAAGTCGATCATTGATCACTGAGTGCGGGATTCTTTGGTTCTGCCACAGTCAGAATTCCTGACCCCATGCACCTGTCTTTGAGACTCTGTGGTGTGCAAGAAGTTGTTTTTAAAAAGCTCATGTAAGGGTCAAGGCCAAGTTATCCAGAACTTTTCTCTTCAATATGGCCCCAATTTGTTGACTCAAGTGCATCTTCTGCAGTAGAAGCCAATGTTAATTCCTCGTTCATTTCCATGAAAGTTGCTCAATGGCGCCTGAAGCAAAAATTGCTTGACTGCCGAGTATAAAATTACCCAGATCTTCCACACTGCTTCCGCATCCGTGGGCTCATAGAGAAAGCGCACAAGCGTTTCCTTTAAACCTGCATCCAGCTGCTCGGTCTCGGCTCGCTCACATCAACGGAGGAAGGAAAATAAGAATGGATCCGACTATTAGTCTGCAACTTTTAGGACCTAACGTCTCCTTCCCATCACGTGACGGACCCAGAAGAAGTAATTCCACTGTTTGACCACTAGATAAATTGCCCGGCGCTCTTCCCGGGGGCTTGGCACAGACACACGTGCTCATGCTAGCCTGAGATATTATCCCTTCACCCATTCTTCCCTTGAAGTGTGAATACATAATAACAAAGAAAAGAAACTTGTCCGATTCCATCTGTTGAACGGCTTGATTGCTGTCCAAAGGTCCACTTCATTTTCTCTCTGATAATGACTGATGTGGAAAAAGGAGACGAGGGCCTTTGAAGCACCGCAGCCTCAGTGAATGAGCCTTTCAAGTGCGGGCCGTCGGAATTTCATAAAAGAAGAAAAAGACATGTCGGGTGATACAGAGTACAGGAAATATTTCAGGAGATGCTTCTGACTGCAGCTCACCTTGCTTTTGATAACGAGGTCGAACATAAGCTTTATTCGGAAAGACCTGTCAAGGTTGTCTGGTGTTGGTTGAACCAGAACAGATTTCATGTAGGAGTGACGGAGTGTTTCACTAAAGGTAGGGTAGCAAATAAAGAAGCGGAGGGAGCTGGCATGAAGACATGTTGCACTGCATTTATTGCCCCGCCATGCTCATTTACTCCCTTACAGGCAGAGAAATATAAGAGGACATGCACAATGACCTTTTGTCATGAACTAACAATTGAAGCTGACTTCATTTCCATTTCCAGTCATCACAGAGGCTGCCTTTATGGTGACTAAAGGCGGGCTATCTTAGGGTTTATCAATCAACAATCAGAGCAACATGTCAGTTGTAAAAAGTCACATTTCTAACTATTCACTACTTCACTGTTATTGTGCACTCGAACCTGCTGTCAAGCCGAACCTCTCCGATTCATTGATGTGATCGTCCACCAAGGCGATCAAGAGACAAATGAAGGTTTTAATCTTCTCAACCGAATTTCCCCAAGTAGCAGACGTATCAAACCTCTCCAAAACCTCATTTGGAGTAACGACATAAGCTTTCTTTTGAAGAAGTGACTTCAATGGTTCATTTCGTCCCGATTTAGGAGATGTTTTTTTAATTCAGTCTAGAGCGGAACCAATAAGTTGATTAAACGAAACTGTCTGCAACTGTTCTGGTAATTTTTTCAAGCAAAAACAGCAAACATCCACAAGCTCCAGGTTTTTAAATGTAATACTTTGCTGCTTTTTTCACATCTTTATGTTATGTCTTTATGTTTTGTACAGCTGGTTGGACAAATGAAGTGATATAAAGACATCACAATGGGCTCTGGGAACTTGTGTTTTTCACTATTTTCTGATCTTTTATTGAACTAAAATATGAATCCTAAAAATGAACGGCAGCTACTGAAAATATTTGTTCCGTGCAGAACTATTTTCAGTCAAAAGCCGTGGAGATGTCTTTCACAGTTGTCCCCATGTTCCTTCCATTATGGCTCAGGTACAGTTGGAGGCTCTTCCCAATGTTTGAAGGCTCTCATTGGCTCAGTCATTTCTTCAACAGGGGAAATAGACATTTACAAAGAGACTTGTGAATCTCTGGACAAAAGTGAAGATAGAGCGGTCTGACGCCCCGTTTACACACTTATGAACTCACTGAAAACATCTGCAGCCACTGTGACTCAAAGACAACGAGAACGTGAGGAAGCTTCAGCTTTATTAGAGGACATGCAGGAGTTCGTTTGGATTCCCTCGTGGAATTAAGTTGTTTCTTTTCCGCTGAACAACAAACAAGAGCTTCAAATTAATTAAAAGAAAACCTGATTGTTGATTTCAATGGCTTCCCAATTCTTTAACCAGCTACCCAGACTTGAATACAAACCAGGCATGGAAACTAAATGTAAACGTGTGGATGATGGGCGAGGCTTCAAAAATGCATTTAAAAGTTAATTTCCCCTCAAAATGGGTAAATCAGCAGTCCCCTTTGAGATTCAATAGGAAGCTAATATTTCTGGAACAACTAATATACTAAAACAGTTTTGTTCTTGAAGTGGTTCTACTGAGAATTAAAAAAAAGCATTGAAGAAGAATTTCTGAATAACATTACCAATATCCAAAGATACTTTTATAGCACAGAATCAGGCTTAGAGCTCTCGGCAGAATTCATCCAAATGTCTACAAATAGTATCTGTATCAGGCCTCTTCGTGTTTACTGGAGGGAAATATTTCGCCAAGGACATGTGCTTTTATGCTGCACAAACAGCAGGTCACGCTAACAGGCGGGCGTGATCACAACTGATCCAGACGGTGACAAACTGCACTCCAGCTTGATGTATGCGGACCACAGAGCTCTGGAGACCATGCGCCCGTTTCATTGGATGCAGCAGAGGACTGTCTCGCTGTAATAAATGGACCCTGCCTGGTGTAGTTGGCAGTTTGGGAGCATTAGGAACTGAAATGCATTAGGGCTGATTAGACCGACCGAGCCCAAGTACCCTCTCCTGGTAATGAGAACGCTTTGTCACTCATTAACGCCTCGACCATTCTGGCCTTGTAGAAAGAGAGCACAAGCATTTGCATTATTTTTTTCTTGTTCTTGCCAGCAGAAACAGTTCCTTTTGATGAGGTGGAGAGAATGAAAAGGCGAGAATGAGAGAGCAGTCAATTGCCAGCTACACTGGGAATGGTGATTGTGCAGAACAATGAGAGGATAAAAAAAAAGGGGATTTGGGGACATCTGATGAGAATGTGCTCAATGCTGAATGCAGTCTTTTTATTTCCCCCGGCCGCAGTCGTGCACAGATGTATACACGTAACTGCATCTTGGATATGTCATTTTTTAATAAATACATCACTTGCTGGGAGTTGAGCACTGTATTCTATTTAATACAGTCATGATCGGCTGGATTTCGTACATTTCTAGTGAACGGGCATTTGTCATTGTGACACATTCCGGCAAATTAAAAAGATACATCAGCAGCCTGTGCCGACGGCGTCACAGTGAACCGTGTTTTTGTAACATCAGCTTTCTAAAACACTCTAGCGGGCAAACTACTTCTAGAAAGGAGCTGGTGTCAGTGGCTGCTGGTTTCATGTTATAATTAACATGGGTTGCTCTGGAAAATTGGGCTGCTGTCGACCAATTAGCAAGATAACAACCCACAAAACAAAATGTCTTTCTCAACAGAGGAGAGCTTTCTCGGGCAGCGACTCCCTGGGCTTTGTAACTGAGACAAATACTTTTTTAAATGACTCCGCCTCATTAGCCACTTTTTTTACCAAGAGGAGATGAATAAACACAAACACAATTTTCTTCCCACATTCCTTCTCTTCTTTGTGACCTTGGATCCATTCATTATTTGCTGATAGCCGGTCTGCTAATAATGTCTCTGCTTTTAAATCTCATCTTAAAACCCGTTTTAATTTAAAGGCCTTTCAACAACTATCATATATTCTTTGTTTTATAGTGAGATGATCATGTTTGTATATAGAATGACTGTATTAACATGTCTTCAAATATACACTATATGTGTTGATATATTTCTTGTACAATCGATTACTGTTTTCTACCTCATGCAGCTGTTTTGAATGCTGCTTTTGTCCTGTTATTATGCTTATATTGTCGCCGAAAATGTGGACGTGTTACTTAAGCTGGACTTCCTGGATTGTATTTCATCAGCCCACACCAGCGCAGCTCCATGAGCTTTTTTTTTTTGCCTCAGTGTTAATAAAAGGTGCTCTGTAGAAGATTAGTACATGAAAATACACCTGACTCGTCAGTCTGAACCTCACAGAGGGGCTGCGACAGTAAAGACAGGGTTCCCTACAGCGTACTACAGGTTGGCACAGGGTCCATGCTGAAATTCAGAGGAAATGAACACACTTTTATATGAAATAATATTGAGCTTCAGGGAAAATGAGCAGTACAATTTCCCCCAATATCTAGTAGCTGCATTGATAAGGAGGCGAGATACGATCACGGTGTGCTCTTGATCTCCTTCCTCAGGAGTACACATGAGTGCTGTGTCCACTTCATCTTCTCTGATTCATCAGTACTTAAGTTTCTAACAACTTTGTACATCTCAGTACCATTTGGAGTTATTCGAGTCCTCTGGCTCTGTGTTGACCAATTCTTTTTTTCGGAGGATCCAACAGAGATGTACGCGAGCCTTTTTATATTAGAGTCAATGTTTTAAGTAGCTATAACTGTCGGAATCTTTGGGAGTCTTTGGGAATGACTGCTCTACTCTAACTTCAGCTCACAGAAAAAAAAGACTCTTTTCTGAGGACTACAAACACCATACATCTTTCTCACTGAGCTTTATTTTTCTATCAGATGTCTTTTCTTGCACGCCCCATCCAGAACGATTATCAGAAGCCCGCATGCCGGAGCGTTCTCGGCGCTCGCTGTTGAATTCAAAAACAAAGAGAAGAAGCCGCCGCCACCGGGTAAAGTTCATCCAAAGAGAAGCGATTCATGTTTATGATCCTCTCTCGCTCCTCAGATGCGGCTTCAGTCGTGTTTTACATATCGCGCGCTGGTGCACTGCTGTGTAACTGCACAATGGCTTTGAAGGTGTCAGATTAATTGAGTAACAAAAAAAAAAACATCTGCCTAAATCGATTTCCCCCCCTGAGAATACGAAAGCCAGAGAACTATTGTCAGTGTGTGAAGGAGACTTTTGACTCAAGGTGCTGGTGAAAAGAAAGGATCTGAATGACACCGTGTGGAATTCCTCACAACATGTTTGTATTTCTCCACTGGGCCCGGCCTGATAAGACTGTTTACATCCCCCCGCATCAGAATATAGATTTTAGCTCTGTTTTTCTCATGGAGAGTCAAGCCATGAAGGAGTGTTTGGTATACTGTTAAAATGCTTTATCATCAGCAACCAAAATCTACAAAAACAACCACACACCAACCCCCCCAAAAGGAAATAAAAAACATTCATCATCACAAACGTTTCAGCACAAATCAACAATCCCACAACTTTTAAAGGATGGTTGATATGAAAGATATTTGAGATCAGAAAACCTTGCACCTCTTCGACAGCCTGAGGACTAACTCACCTCCTGGCCCTGCGGTGACTGTGGTGTTTGCGTCCTTTTCCTTTAATGCAGCCGTTCCTGTCCGCCGTGTCCAGCCTGGTGTCCGCCGCTTTCCTCTCATCGGTCTTCAGCGGCTGGCAGGCTGTTGTCTGGAAGCTGTGAGACAAGCATTCAAAAAAAAAAGAAAAGAAGTTAGTTTTTGCTCTTGTGCCTTCTCATGAGAACTTTTTAAAGAGATTTTTATAGCTGTCCACACAGTCGACGCTTCCATCATACAACAGCGAGGAGGATCCAGCATGCTTGGTTAGCCTTATTCCCTCTGGTCTACTGGATATGTGTTTTATTCCCCTCCATTTCTCCCCGCCAGCCATTCTCTGGGAAAATTGGAGGTCAGCCATTACCATTCAAATCGAGGTGTCAATTGAAATGTAGTTATTTACATGCTTCAGTTGCGCTGACATTTTGAGGAAAATGGTGTTTTCTATCTCATGCTGAGCAGAGGCAGACAGGGGAGATGCATGGTCATCAGAAACGTGGAAGGTCTCCTTGAATTCTTTTCTGATAAACTAGAGCTCATTTTTAGTTGTTGACATATATTTAAGAACATCCAAACATAAACATCCAAACCATTTTTTCAGCTGAAAAACAATGTGTATGCTTATATTTAGTGGTGTTGTTGTTGATTCAGCTCCAAAGCTTAACATTTATCATTTCAACCGTCCCAGTCACAGTAAACTATCTATAGACACAAAATATAAATGATTAAGGAATACATTATTGTATTTTTATTGAAACATTTGCATTGACAAAAAAAAATCTTTGCATTAGTAGTTTTAATGATATATTATAAGAGTTAGAGTTCGGTAGAATAACAGGGTATAATTCCCTCTCTAATATCTATTTCATGTTGCCTGAATACAACTGTAGTTCAACTTTGTGTGTTTCAGATAGCTGTTTGATTTAAGTATTTGTTAGCTAGTGGCCAGAAATAATTAAACAGATTTCAAAATTGAGGCGAATCATCTCGCGTCCAATGCCGGCACAAAGCTGCTATAAGTCAGGTGTTTATCAATTCACCCGCTTCCACCCCGAACCTGCCAAAAAACCTCCATTGGCAGTAAAATCTGTCAGCAGGACGAATGACTAAATAAACTGGTTGATTAGATGTGAGCACACAGATCTAGCCCTGCTTATTATCCTCTGTTTTAGTCATGGGAGATTTCAGCATAATTACACATTCTCCTCTTCTTCAAGTGGCTCTCGTCTGATTGTAATGAGAAGATAAACGGAGCCGAGATTATAGGCCGTCAACACCCCCCCCCCCCCCAGACATCTTGATTAAATCTCACTCTGTGTTGTTGGTTTTTTATTTATGCAGCAGAGTGAAATGTCAGTGAACAACCAGTAGTAAAGGGGGGGGGGGTTTCTCACACCTCCCATCTGCATACAGCAACAATAATCGTCAACGCGCTACACTACGGCCTGCTTTCAGCGATTCCTCCTCCTCCACTTATTTCTATTTGCATTTAGATGTAGGCCTACGTGTTGATTGAATGAGTAGCTATCTGACAACCTATTCGACCAAAGCGGGAAAATATGGAAACCATCTGACATCATGCAAATGTGTCACTCTTTCAGCGGAAATCACGGAGGACTTTGATTTGATTCAACCTCGTTCGCTCTCTTCTGTGGCCGGGCCACATCACAGCAGTCAATTCTCAGCTGCAAAGCAGACCGTACACACGCAGAGGTCTTTGGGTGTTGAACACTTTCAGTGTGACAAAAAGATATTGACGATTCTTCCTGCGAAGACTTAAACAATACAAAAAAGGCCGACACGTTTCCGCTCGGTGTTCCTGAATAAAGCCGGAGAGCAAAGTGGCCCAAAAGCTCCTTTAACTGTTATTTGCTGTCACTCTAATAAGAGCTGAGGTCGAGGAGTTCTGAATGAAATCGATTTCGCCATTGCGGATGCACATTCCCTTCATCCGGCTCTGCAATATATTGCTGAAACTTTCCAAGCTATAAGCACCTGGATTTACCGTGGGCTGTTTGTAACTGTCAAACAACACACCTCACACACACACACACACACACACACACACACACACACACACACACACACACACACACACACACACATAATTCATAACCTGGCAGCGGTTGAAGGTATTTAAAGGGACAGTTAAGATCACCAAACTGGCAGAAAGCTTGAAATGAACGCAAATACGGACTGGATCAAGCGAGGGTACTCAATGACGAAAAGCTCCGTGGACACTAATCCGTCCCACTTTGTGACTTTTTGACCTCTTTCTCTCATCATGTGTCATACTGCACATGCACGCTTCGGCGCCGCTCCCCACGGCGATGAGTAATTCTGTCACTGGAGGCTCGGAGGAGCGACCACGCTGGGACTAGCTCTTGTTTCCGTCTTTGTCACAGAGGGAGGGTCTCGCTCCTCCCGACGCGGGGGCTCCTCCGCTCCGTCATACACGGCTGCTGTTCGCTGTCATGTGGACGGGTAACAGACACGGACAGATGGTGCACAGAAACACACTGCAAAACAGGGAGACGGCGAGATTTTGAAGAGGGGGATGATGTGATTTTTACCTTTGAAAAACCTCTCTACATCTCTATTGCTGCCCTGAAAATGAAAAGTTTCTGTATTCTCTGTGATATATTCATCTGTGCCATAGAGCTCCACTGTTGACTATAAACACACTGTTTCACTACGTAACATGCTCCTTTATTTACAGCGTACATGGGCACTGCAGTTTATTTTGAGCCCGTCCCAAATATATATAGTTCACAAATCCACAAATAGTCCTTTGTACTAATATTTTTTGTTGCTAAATAAGCAGATTGTCTTAAATAAGCAGATTGTCTTATTTGTTGCTAAATAAGACATATAATAAACGTTTATAATGTATTTTAGACAAGGGTGTCGTAGGAAGTGCAACAGAAACCCTTTTTTTAACACAGACTTATCCTTTGAGGTGAGTAAGAATTAGTGGTTTAGGTACATTATATATTTGATGTCGCGTGTTGTGCTTCAAGTCAGTATTTAACCAAGGTACAATCGGTCCCGAATCTTACTTAAGTGTGTGCTGAAGTTGTCTAAACATAACCATAACAATTGTATTAATGCTTTAGATTCCTTAATATTGTACGGAAAACAACATTTCTTAATGCCACATACCTCTGAATGCAAATGAGTTTAATGGATTGACGTTTCAGCTCTAGTTAATCCACAGAAAATCAAAACATTAATGAATTTAGTAAAACGAACGTAAACGCCAAAAGCCAAAACATATTTAACCTTTTCAATTTGTGTTCAATCTAACCATCTGCTTGTCAGTTGAACTTCCATCTCTGTGCTGATATATTCATCCAGAGCCACAGGAGGATCGCCATAGTTTGTGTACAGTTTCGTTGTCCACGGCCAGTTTACGATACTAAATTGAGATAAACTGCTACAATATCTGCCAGGAGCTGCTCTGTAATCTGCCAGCTGCTTTGCACAACGCTGGCTCGCTGTCGGATGGGCTCAAACTCACAGCATCGGCTGACATCGTACAGGTGTGCAAGAAGCACGCCAGGCGGCCATTAAACTAACCAGCAAAACGCTGCTACACAGCTCCGGTGTTTGCGTTAAAAACGTGTCAAAAATCACACAAGCGATTAACACAGATTGCGTTCTCAGCTGCCTCAATTACAATCTGCAAAACATGTTTTCATCGGCACTCTGCTTTTTCTGTTTATTCCAAAGCTGTTATTTTGCTTCGGGAGGCCTTCTGGGGCGTTCGAGTGCGTGCAGAGCTGGAGGACTCTGGAAGATCTATGACGACACAACAAAAGACACAGCACTTTCCCCTCTAAACCTGGTATCTGTAGACACCCCGCTGTGACAGAAAGAGATCTTACGAGATAGAGTTAAGTGACACTCGAGGGGCATTTGTACATTTTCTGTGATCTCATCTGCTCCTGAAAGCACAAACAGACAAATGCACTTTTTGTTTTTGCTTTGGTTGTGTTTTGCTCTCTCAGCGTAAATCAGTGTACCCTCACACACCTTTGCTTCTCGGGTCAATTTAGTTCACTTCATTTTGTTTGGACACGTCTGCACCACTACTGTGCACTGGATCATCCTAATACTCCTAAAGGTCGACTTAATCTGCGTTCTTTACCGGGGTTTTCAAATGGAGACGCCCACTCAGCCGTTTGCTTACTTTGGTTTGGGTTAAAATATAATAATGTGAACTTCATAGAAGTATTTCTTCTTTGTGATCCATTTAATTATCTTGTGACGCCCAGAGTGAGAACATTGGAATCTGCTGATTCTAAGGACTTTCATTAGCGACTTCATTTAAAAAAAACACAAATATACTGTCGGTTCCAGCCCCTCAAAAATCCATATTGGTCGACCGTGTGTCGTTTTGGTTGCCATGCCATCCCCACATACCTGCTGATTGCTGAGAAGACTCACGCCTAATAGAGCAGGTGAATAACAAACTGTGGCAAACAAGTTAGGGGTTATACATGGAAGGATCAATACAGCTAACCCTAAAGCAACAACAGGAAAACAACATCAGGCGATCGAGGGACGATACGTCACTTTTTAACTTTTTAACTTTAAGTAGTCCCAAGAAGAAGTGTGGAGGAGCCAAAGGAAATTAAATATTTTCTTTCTAGATTCTCAAACTCAATTAAGACGTTGTGTCGAAAATACAAATCAAATGTCTACTTTTGAAGCTAGTAATTGCTTAATAATGGCTGACATTAATGGCAGAACTCTTGGAAAGAAACTTTACTTCTACATGAAGTCTAGTGGAAAATAAAAGATTTCCTCAGAGTGTCATTTCTCTTGACAGTGGAGTGGCCCTCAGTCCAACAACCCACACATCCTGATTATTCAAAGTGGAGGGTTGCCAAATTGTGCAAATTAGCACTTAAGGAGCTCTGTTCTAACTTACAAGCTTGTAAACACGTCAAGGCCATCAGAGCTGATAATGGAGACCGAAGAAGGACTCGCATGACCTTCATCCTCTCAGGAGACATTTGTGTAAGTGAAAGTAGAGTGTGCAGAACTCGGGTGCTTTTATACATTTTTTTCTCCCCATTTCCACATGAGTTAAGAGTTCCCCCGCCAAACTTGA